ATATTTTTTTTTTTTTTTCTTTGTTTTTATCTTCCCTTGAAGATCGGTGCGGTTCCTTTCTATCAAATGAATTAATTTCTTTATCTGTTATTTTGCCTTTTGCAGAAAAAAAAAAAAGGTGAACACAAGTTTTTTTACTTCTTTTATCTTCTATTTTCCGATTGAGAATCTCTGCATTAGAAACAAAGCTAACGCTTTCTGTCATGAACAACATGCCGTACAAAGGCTTGTACCCGAGCAATATTTCACGCGATCTTACTTCTTTTTTTCTTTTTTTTTAATATGATTTTACTAGTATTTTTTTTTTTTTTAAAATTAAGTTGCTTTCCCACAATGTTTCATTGATAGATTTCTTGTTGTGAATGAGAGATGATGGCGGTTGCCGTTTATAGTCTATTGAGTTTTGCAAGGGACGTTGTCGTTTGTAAAATTTACGTCGTTTTATATACTTTTGTAGTTGTTGCGAATAATTCATGATTTATCAAGGAGACGTTGGGGAATATATCGTTTTCCCGACATTAATATGCTGTCGTTTATAGCTGAATAGGAAATTGTTCTTCTAACATGTTGTCTGTAAATATCTCGTCGTTTACAGGAGACGTTGTCCCTAGAAAATAAAATTAAAAAATAAAAAATAAATAAAGAAGAAAATTCATTGCCCAAAAAAAAAAGGAAGATCCCTTAAAAAAAAGAAAAAGAAAAAGAAAGAAAGAAACAGAAAAAATCGGGGTCCTTCAACTTTCTTGGCGATGTAACAACAATATCTCCTTTTTCTGAAAAACAAAAACAACAATATATCTCCTTTTCTTTTTGAATTATTCTACAAAATTTCATTAACATATAATTTCTATTTGGACCAACATTAATCCCTATTTATCTTTCTCTTGAAAATTGATAAAAGCGCTTTGTTTTCTTTTGTTTTTTTTTCTTGATTAGATTTCGGAATCTCTCTCTCCATTATAAACAAAGATGATTACTTTATGTCACCAACACACGGTTCTCTCAAAGTCAAAAACGCTAAAAAATGGCGTTATTTTAAGAATCTTGAACCGACACCAAGCATATTCATAGCAAGAAAAAGAAGCCGTTGCAAAATCTCCCCTTGTTTGGACAAGACTGCCCTATTAATTTCCTTGGTTTAAAATTTAAATTACCTATAATAATAAATAATACAAATTTGCATATTTTGTCCATCCATTCCAAATTAGCGCACAAATTAAAATCAAGAGATTCTTTGCACATAAAAAAGTCCACGACTTTCCCATCCCAGTACACCATTATTACTATATAAAAATTAAAAAATTAAAAATAAAAAGGAACTAGACGTTGGGATTAAAAAAGAGCTTTTTTTCCATCAAATGGGACCCAATTAATTCACAAATCACACTCATACTCGTACTCATACTCAGACTCTGAACACTCCACTCGATTGGAAAGTTTCAAACTTTTTCTTCATAGATTCGTTTGGTAATTTTTTTTTTCCTGGGAAAAGGAAAAAAAGAAAGTTTTTTTTTTTTTTTCTTTTTCCTGCATTTCTTGGGTGTCAATTCAACGGTGAAATGGACCCAAGAGGGAGCTTGTAGTGATTCAAATTTAAAGAGTCGTAAAGGGTCTCGGAGCGTGCTAGAAAAGAGGCTTAGATATCACCAAAAAAAAAAAAAAGATAAGTTGAAAGATTATTGTGTCGTGAGTTGTAACTTGTGTGTTAATTCTTTTAACAAATTAAGTTGAAACGACAGAAAAATGGGGGAGTTGCCATGTCTCAGGAGATCATTCTCTCAGCCTTCTGGGGGTTTTCGTGAAGCCAAAGAGGTTAGTTTGCAACACTACTAGTATTGCATTGCAAAAATGTAAACTTTTGCGTTTTCTTGGATTTTTCATTAGTTTTCACGCAATGGGTTTCTCATACTTTCAAGAAATCTTTCGAGGGTATTCAGTATTTTTGCCCAACTTCTCTCTCTCTCTCTCTCTCTCGCTGTATTTTTTTTTTCTCCTTTTCCCGTTATGATTTGTTTGGCTGCCGAGACTTTATGGAAGGAAATAATAATAATAATAATAATAATAATAATAGTAATATTAACAATAACAGCTTGAAAATGGACGTGGAATGGATTAAAATGGCTGTTATAAACCTTCGAAGCTTTCTTTCTGTTATGTAGATTCGATTCTTTAGGAACCAAAATGAGCGTAACTTATGCTGCTTTGGTGGTTCTTGGTTTTTGGTGGTTCTCGGTTTGATCTTATAATGTTTGTTAGCTTTTATTTTTATTATTATTATTATTATTATTATTATTATTATTATTGTGATGAGATTTTGATGTTATGGGTCGATATATTTATGAAAATCAAAGCAATTTTTGTGTTTTTTTGTGTTTGTGTGAGGTTATTTGTCACGATGACTTGGCTTTTGAAGAGTTTGTGAGAAAATTGAATGCATTTGTTATTGCAGGGGGACCCCTTCCGCGCACTAGGCGAATCCGTCTCTTTCGGTAGGTTTTTGACAGACTCCCTGGCTTGGGAGAGATGGTCGGCATTCTCCCACAATCGGTACTTGGAAGAAGTTGAGAAATTTGCTAAACCGGGTTCTGTTGCTGAGAAGAAAGCCTACTTTGAGGCACATTACAAGAGAAAAGCTGCAGAAAGAGCGGCAGCCTTGCTCGAGGCTGCAAATGTGGTCACCACTTCAAATGTTGTAGAGCAGCCAGCAACTGAAGACAAGAAACGCAATGACTCTTTAATGGAGTCGGATATGGTGAAAGGAGAGATCGATGTGGGAGAACAACAGGACAAAGATGTTGCAAGTAATGTCACAATTTGTCCTTCCAATTCAAATTTGTGTGTCGAAAGGAATGAACCGGATGTTTCGGAGTTGGAAGGGGGAGGGGGAGGGGTGGCAATTCAAGAAAGTATGGACGTGGAGAGTTCTAATCCAGTTGAAATTTCAATCCCGCCAGAGAATAATGTAGACCTCAATAAGATTGAATCTACCACGGAAGAGAATATGCTTGGTAGTGAGGTAAACTTTCTTTCTTTCACTCTCTTTTTTGAAGACTGTTGATTTGTTTTTAGGGGTTTAATTGTTAGTATCTCATTAACTATGCAGGAAGCTAGAGATCAAGAGATTATAGCTTCAGCAAGCAAGAAAAGGTCATCCAGCTCCTCATCAAAGTCAACATCCCAAAACAAAGCATACAAGACCTTGTTATCTCCCGCCAAACAAATGACCCATGTACAAACCACGAAAGCGAACAATCTTGCTTCAAGGAGTAAGAATTTTGTGGAAGACATGGTTAATAAAAAGAATGCAAAATCACTTCACATGTCAATTCATTTCTCTTCTCACTCTGGTGGTGAAAGCAGCAAGACAACTTCGCCTATTATACAAAAAATCAAAAGCTTGAAAAATTTCACAGCTTCACTCAGTGTCTCCAAGAATAATTCAGCTTCTTCACAAACAAAAACAAAGGTATCTACTTTTTTCTCCAACATTTGTTTGATTAATGCCAATTTCTTCCTTCGTTTGTGTGGCCTAACGCAAATTTACTTGCGAACTTTAGGCATCTGTAAATGAATTAAAGAGACCGTCATTAAACCTCAAGTCTGAAGATAGAAGGTATTTTACTTTCTTTCCATTAAAAATTCGTTTACCCTTTGTGCCACTAAGACTTATTCACACTGACATGATATATGTATCTTACAGTAATAGGCCAATGTTAAACAAGTCCGTGGCCGGAGGAATAATAGCAGATCAGAAGCGAAATTCCCCCTCAAAAGAGTAAGAATACTGCACCTTTGTGTAAATTTATTTTGCCAGTACTATATGTCAATTTTCCTTTCCTGTTTTCCATCACTTTTTACTTGTGTAAATCTTCGTTCATTGATCTCATGTCACATTATATTCACATTTTTCTGATTTTATTTTCCATATTGATAAATTGTCACTAAATTACAAAGGTACTGCTTGGATTTACCTTACAAACTGTTTCTATGCAGAAACTCCAAATCCCCAAATGGCCGAGGAAGCAAACCACGGTCTTCTCTAATAACCTCTCCTTTCAGCCTTAGAAGTGAAGAGCGAGCAGCGAAACGAAAAGAGGCAAGATTAAAGACCATTGTACTTTTCATTCAGTCCTTATAATTGTAATTTACAGTTGTGCTAACACTTCCTTTTGGGGTCATTTTCCACGGCAGTTCTATGAGAAGCTCGAACAAAAAAGGAAGGCAGAGGAGATCGAAAAGAAGCATCTGCAAAAAAGATACCAGGTTCGAAACATGACCTTTCTATATCTAGTCCTTAGAAAAGCAGTCATTCAACCTTGTTTAGCTGAAATGGTTAAAGGTTGGATACGGAAAATTTTCTCTGCAGGACGTTAAGAAAGTGCAGCAAAGAACCAGCTCAAAAGCCAAACCAAATGAAGGTTTGTGTCCTGGATCACAATTGTCAACGAGTCACATAAAGAAGGTACTCACGTGTTTCTTTTAAACTCCTTTGTAGGTTAAAAACACCCCATAATTTGGTATGTTGAATGGTTTTTATGATCGTTTCGGTTAGTCAACGTCGAAGACAACATGTGGGTAATAGATATGTTGTGCTCAACGTTCAATTACCAGTTTCTTACTAAACACTTTTGCTTCTTAGTTTTCTGTTCTCATTTTTCTTCATTATTGGCTGTATGGTTGTAGGTCTCTGAATGTAACTTATACATCCCTCTGAATTTTTCACCCTCCATCTTTTTACTATTCTGTTTCTAATTAACATAAGAATAACTTTGTCCTTCAGATCCCTCCGACACAGCCTAGATCACCGTTGCTTGGAAGGAAGACAACTACCAGCAAGATCTCGGATGCAACTTCTCGTTCTTTAGCCAATACCGAAAGTTCCAAGTGCATCGAAAATAAACGAAGCACAAATTGGCCAGTCACTTCTCGCTTGCAGAAGAATGCACGCGAGAATGCATCTCCAAACATCCAGAGTTCAGCACTAAAACGATAGGGACAACCGTGTAAGAAATTTGTATGGAAAGTACAGTTGAAGTAGCGATTGATCCATCATCACCTGGAGCCACTTCTGTAATTAGACATTTGGGGGTGATTGTGATATGTGTTGTGGTCTGCTTTCAACATCAGTTAGGAAAGTTTTGCAGGATTTCATCTCCGTGGAAAGTGCATAGAAATTTTCTTTCCTACCAGTTTTGAAATTTATAGCATGAAAAAGCAACTTCTGATGTAACCAGACAAAAGTTCGTATAGAGTATGGAGTTTTATACTAAATGCTCAACTTTGCATTAGAAGAAAATTGATTTATTATTATTATTATTTTTTTTTTTTAGCACAAACCTGAATTTGCAAGCCTGATTTATTATGTTCTCCGAGCATGAGCCTGATTTATTAGTTAAAGAAAATAATCATAAGTCAACAAGGGCAATATCATATTTGTTGTTATTTTGCAGTTAACTTCTACTCTGTCTCAGTTTTCTGGTTTTATGAGAACGGAGTACAAAGTTATTGGAGCAAGCTTATGATGCTTTATGGTTGCCATCACTGCTATCATACACATCTCAACATCAAAAAACCAAACTGGTCAGAGAAATAATATCTCAATCCATTAATTTAAAGATCCACTTAAAAACTGGTTCATCATTTAGGGACAAGCAGAAAAGATCATCTTCATCCAAGACCGAGCAGAAAGAGCTGGCTGAGCAGTCAAGTCAATAGGCTTGGTCTAATATGGCATATTCTGTCATATCACAGGGATACTCGTAGCCGAACCTCAGTGAATCATACAAGTGAATGGGAACTTCATTGATGAGCCCTGCATCGATGTAGTCCGAAAATCCTAAGTTTCTGACTCCTAGAGTGTCTCCATAGGAATCCCCTTGAAACAAAACTTGCAAGTCATCCTCAAAAGAGGCAAGAGTTGAAGATGACCCGCTTGCTAAGTTTAGGACATCTCTTTGAGCAGACTCTATATCAGCAGTGCAACTTAAACAAGAGGCTTGTGTAGTAAGGGATGATGTACAAGGGTAAATGGGCTCAAGAGCTCGTTGATGGTTTACTATGTTGGACTTGGAACTTTGAGGAAAGGGATCGAGTATACTTACTTTTGGACTAGGATCACTGATTTGGTTGCTTCCATATTCAGGACAAGGAGGCTTACTCTTAGTGGGACCAGATATGCCTCTCTCTGCAGTACATGGAATTGACTGTAGAGAATCAGCATTGACATGGTTCAATGGATCAGGCAGTGGCAACTTGGTGAAGCCATTTTCTAAGTGGACAAATGGCGTATGTTCTTGTCCAAATTGAACATCTGGTACTTCACCCCAATAAGACTTTGTTGGGATACCGGAATTGAAAGCTGCAAAGTCGACTTCAGATTCCAATGGTTGGAAAGAACGGTTGAAGCCCATCTGTGAATTCTTGGTCTTGTGAGAATCAGGAAGGTTCACTGGGGGTCTCTTGGGTTCCATGACTGGCTCTGAGATTATGCTCTTCAGATCATCTTCATGGCTGCTGGGGTCCACAGTCCTGGGAAGCAAGCTATTGCCAGAAAATAGGTAGCTGCTATTCACAACATCACTTTGGTGAATGGAGCCAAAGCTTCCTGGAGGATCTTTTGGAGATGCATCAGAATGCTTCATGCCAGAATTCTCCTTTTCTTTTTGTAGCCTGCTCAAATAAAGGCGGTACTTCTGTATTGTTTGAAATTTCAATGCAAACATATCAGCTATCACATTCACAGTAGAGTTTTCCCTTGTTTTAACTGAACCATTTTAATAAAACCAATCATCATCACATCTAATTCCAGCCACAAAAAATAAAATAAATAAATAAAATAAAGAGGCAGAAGTTTGTAAATCTTCTTGGTATTTGTAACAAGAAAAAAAAAAAAAAAAAAAAGAGGGAACTACATATAGAAGCAATAGCAAGATCATATATAATAAATATTTTCGAGTATATCATAATGCTTCATCCCACCAAAAGAAAATTTTGTTTTGTTTCTTTTACTTTTTGTAGTCTTCTGAAGTAAAAGTGGTACTTCTGCACAGTTGGAAACTTCTCAATTTTCACCTAATTTCACCAGATAATTTCAATAAAACTAAATATGATCACATCTTTTTCCAGCAAATATAATAAAATAAAAGCAAAAGTAAATAAGAACCCATGTCCATTGATCCCATGAAGTTGCAGTATTCCTTGAAATAGCAAAAGTTTGTAAATCATACAAAAAATATGATAACTATCATCAATTAAATCATTAGGATTAGAAGTTTGAGGAAGACAAAAGTCAAAAGTAGAGCATTCCCAACTATCCAAATATTCTGCAGGTTCACATGCCATGAAAGTGTAATATAGACAAATATCTGTCACTACTAAATAAAAATCCTGTCCATAGTATTGTGCAACCAAATTTTTTATTTTAACAACCTAATAATAACCATAATAATCTCATGCAAACTGCTGCGCCAGTACAAAGCCTATTAGAAACAATTTTTCTAGTCATATATTGAGGAAGACTAAAAAGTAAGGTAGAGCTACCTGCAAGTGGCTTGCAACATTCTCCCTTGTTAACCATGGCACATTCATCAGGTCAAGAATTTTTTTGGGACCAACTTCTGCCAAACAGACATTACACATCATGGCTCTGTAGAAGCATAATAAAAATGGTGGCTATATCATTAAAAAAATGACATTAATGACAATTATGCATCCAAACATATATAGCTTAGCATCCATTTTGAAAAATTCCCCATTCAACGATGGTGATTAATGACCAATCTTTGAAAAATAATAGATTGACTTACTGTCAAATCCTATCTGATTAACTGCCTTTACAAATTTCTGATGAAGATCAACTGACCATACTACTCTAGCTTTTTTGGCAGAAGAAGCATCACTAAAGTCTTTCTCATCATGGTTTTTCTCCATATCTTTCCTTTTTCTGACAGAAGTGAGATCGTCCACACTAAGCAAGTGGCCATCATCAGAATAATCTGATCCATTTCTTGTTAAATGCATGCCTTCAATAATACTCTCGTGATTTTCAATATCTTTTATTTCGTGTATTTTCTTTCTAAATACATGTTGCCATATATTCTTGAGTTCTTTCATTCGTATAGGCTTAAGCAAATAGTCACAGGCTCCATGTTGGACACCTTTCATTACTCTACTCGTTTCGCCGTCTACAGACATCACTGCATAGGTGCAAAAACACAACTTGTAAGCACTCAAGCCAAGTAAATAAGAATATCTAGGACAAAGCTTCATTTCTTTTTTCTTTTTTTTGTTCATTTGGCAAAGAACTGACTGATCACGGGGAGATCCATCTCCAGTCCAACATGCTCAAGAAGTTTGAAACCATCCATGTCGGGCATGTTGACATCACTTATAACAATGTCGAACACATCTTTTCGCTCGCGGAGCAATCTTAGCGCGTCTGTTGCTAAGCCGCATGTTGTAACTGTAAGAGAGAAGCAGGGGAAATGATGTCAAAATGAATGAGAAGTAACTTGGCAACATTCTTTCAAAACATTGGCTTGAAAAATATAGATAACCAATTGCGACCATGGCTTTCTTAAAGCCAAATGTAACAATTTCGGAAAGTATTTGATTATATTGGCATGAGATAAGTCTAGAAGAAGGAAAAAGAGAACACTCTTGAGTAATCGTCCTACACTTATCACCTTGATTGATAGAACAAGTTGGAGCGGTATAGGGCTAAATCTATCAATCGGTCTTCAAATGTAACGAATGCCCTTTTGCAAGAAATTTGCTAGAGTGACTATCTAACAAAGTGAAATTGGCAAAGTGATTTTCTTCATTTTTTATAAAAAAACAACCACTCAGTCGTTTTTTTGTAAAAAAGGGTCGTTCTTGTTCCTGGTCGTTCCATAGTCATTTTGCAAATAAAATTTTTTCAAAATTTATTTTGCTAATAAAACTTTTCAATTGAGTCATTTTTACAGTATCTAGATGAAAACTATAAACGCAAAGCCAAAGAAAATACAGAACTTATTTTTCTGCCACACTTCTAAAAAACATAGGCCTACGAAAAAGGTCTGTCCAGCTCTATCGTGTCTCTATATCAAATTTGGCAGAGAACAGCTAATTCTATTAACACTACAACAATCTGAGATCTCTTGTATTATGTTGTGGAGAGTTCTGTGGTACCCTACCGGTTGGACATAGTTCCAGACTGCTCGATCTTCATTAAGGTCTGCTAAATTATCGTATTTTTCTTAATCTAACATGATTTTGATTATGACTAAAGCTTCTTTGCTCTATTTATGAACCGAAGATTTTCTTGGTGGTATTTAACTTAACGATCTACATTATGCCAAGGGGTTGTCATAAATTCTAATCTGATTGAGATTTTATTTTCCTTCATCAAACTAACTTATCAAGAGAATAGCTTCAACCAATTGAGTTGCTTACAACTTATCCTCAATACAGTGGTCATCAGATCATGTACAATTCTGAATGGTAATCATTTTTATTTTTGGTAAATTCCAAGTCTTTATTGCTAGAAAACGTCATGTACTTAAAAGAATCCATCTCTTTGGGTGAGGAAACCAAGCTTCTAGATAAGTAAGAACTAAAAGCAATACTTCAGAGAAGAACACGGAAGTGATTCACAAACAAACATCACTTTTAGTCATTTTCATAACTTGAAAACCCACCTGATTCAATACAGACAAATAGCTACATAGATGCTGAACAAAACACATGCCAAAGCAACAAAAGCAAAAAAATTTACAGTTCTTTCTTCTTTTTTTTTTTTCCTAAAATTTGAAAGCACACCCACATAGCGTTTACACAAAAATAGTCCAAAAATCAATAATCCATAACTTGAAAAAGACTACACAAGAATAAACAACCAAAGTGACAAGAGTGAATCATATTGTAAGGCATGATTTACCTTCGTAAGAACACTTTTTCAGCATCTTTTCTAGAATCCTAAGCCATGTCGGGTCGTCGTCCACAACAAGAACTCGGAGCCCGGCAGGAAAAGCATCACTCCGAGGAGAAGAAAAACCGTTCTCCATGGTGAAAGGAGTTGAAAGAAAAAGAACAAAAGGTTAGTATTGAAGTCTAGGGGGGTTAGAGTAGAACTTTAGCATATGTGAGACTAATATATATGTCACTAACTTCTTAAAAAATATATATATAATTAAAAAAAATACGGTTTTGTTTGGATTTTAACAGAAGCGGACAGATAGAGAATATAAGCGCCTGGATACTAACTGTCTCCGTACCTCATGTTAGACTGTTAGCCTCTAACCACCTTTCTGTTTTTTTTTTTTTTTTAAACACTATTTTCTTATATCAATCTTCAGGCTTAAGAAAAAAAAATGGTAACTTTGAGATATTGGGTGTAGAATAATGAGATAATTAAAAGGGGTAGAATCTAAAGGTGGGGAGAGGAAGAATGTTTGAATAAGCAAAGCATCTTATGACAAAAAAAAAAAAATTATGCATGAATTCATCACATTGAAGCAATCTTAATTTGCTTTGGACAAACTATAAAGCTTAATTTGACTATTTATATGTGTATATTAAAGTCATAATCTTCACGTAAAGAGATACTGATTTTATCATGGTTGTGGTACTTTTACTTGGAACTTGAAAGCACTAATACAAGTTGTTGGTAAAAAAAAAGATTCCACCTAAAAAACAAGCTTTTTCTTTTTCACCTTTGTGTAAAAGGAATAGGTATAAATCATTTACTTATGGACAATTTGAATTCTTGATGTGGAAAAGAGAAAGTAGAAGGATGGTATGGATCCGAGAGAATGTGCAATTAACAACAAGATCCAAATAGCAGGGAAAGAAGATAAGGCTCTCTTTCCTTTTATGTTGTTTATTGTGTACCATGTTGTACCTCATTCGTCACATTCTTTCAAAAGCTTTATGACTAAATTTTCAGCCAAATAAAAAAAAATTGAAAAAAGCTTTATGACTAAATTTGGAAATTGGCCATGATTCAATTGAGACAAAAGCAACATCATTCATTCGTTGTCTTTACTTAAACACACTTTACTCATTTTTCTTATCACAAGGAAAAATATTGTCTCCAATCATTTTGTCTAATATATGATTTAATACAAGAAACAGTACAGTTCACCTTTTTTTTTTTTTTAACTGCAAATACAGAAAATGAAAAAGGAACTAATACCTTATGAGTGTTTAAATTTACACCGCAAAAAAAAATGATGATGATACATCTTAAGAATCTCTGGCATCTCAATAGAACTTTGAGATTAAAATGAAAATGAAAAAAAAAAAAAATGAGAGATCAAGAGAAAGAAGATTGGCATATATTATTACCTTCCTAAGACAATGAGAATAAACAGATTTTTTTTCCCCTTTGCTGACCACTAGAGGAAGATGAAAAAAAAAAAAAAAAAAAAAAAAAAGGAATTACATGTGGAAGCCTTTAACGTTTGGTGAAAGGCACGTGGAATACATTTAGGAGACAAAATGGAAAGCGTTTTAAGAAGAGTAGTGGTTTGGAGAAGCCAAAACCATCTGTACTTGAACACAAAATAAAATCCAATTGACCAAAAAACCACTATTTTTTTTTCGCTTTCTCTTCTTCTTTTTGACATTTGTTATACTTTCAACCAATACATGCATGCCATGCACTCAAGCTCAACTATAGTTGATCTTACTCAATTCTTTTATAAGTCCTTTCAATAAACTCTAAAATAATAAAAGTGGAAGCAATAAGAAAAAAAAAAACTTTTTCATGTTTGGATGCCCAATAATTCACATAGTTTAGAGCATCTCTATGTACTTGGTAGAGAGGTTTCAATTTTTTTAGCTCAATATTTTATTGCAAAATATTTTAATATAAAAAACCTCTTCTTCTCTTAAGAACTATATATTTTTTTTTTTTTTGAATGACACAAATCCAATCTCAGAGAGACAAAATATCTTTATCAATTCAAGTTATCAACCTAATCACATAGCTTTCTTCTGTCTCCAATTAATTAGTGCGTGATTTTCACGCTTTGATAGTATCTTCTTCTAAAGCATGAAAATGGAGAGCTAGAGAGATTCCAAAGTTAAATTAAGTTTTTTATGTTAATTACTTACCGCACTTAAATTTGCATGCAATGTTTTTCAATTCTCAAGAGCACCATATACTAAATATGAAAGCAACTTTAGCTTTATAAAGGAAGAAGGTTCCAATTGCTTTCTGATTTTGCTCTATTTTAACCTCTAGTGACATCTCTAGTGACATAACATGCATGCGTAAATATAAAGAGGGTTAAAAAAAGTTTAAATTGAAATTATGAGTATTACTGATAAAATACTATCTGGGAAAATAAAAATAATTAAAGCTTATGTTCTGATCTCTAGAAGTAGTAGACTTGTCATTATCATTATCGTTAAGGTATATTCCATAAAAAAAAAATTAATCAAAAATGTATTTATGTTATAATTTGAAACTTAAGAGGGAAACGCTTGATACAAATGAAAATTAGGGTTCAAATTGTAAGGAGAATTTATAAAATTTTTCCTATATATTAATTGAGGCCACTATAACCAAAAAGAAAAGAGGAAAAAAAATTAAAAATTAAAGACAAAAAGGTTTAAGACCATAATGTGCCATTTGTTCCATGTTGGTGCCACAGAAAGTTGCATATTCTTGTTGAGGTCCATTTTTTCAGGGAGAGAAAAGGGTTATTTCCATGTTCTAATGATCACTTAATTAAGTTTCGTGACCAATTAGAGCAGGTTTTGTAGCGCACTTTGTGCTATGTGATTTAAGCCTAAGAATAAGTGGCAAACCCATTTGAAGTTTTAGTGTCATCCTCCATAATTTAATCAAGTATTAATGGAGTAATTATCGGTGTAAATTTATCAGTTTCTTTTAAGTGGGTAATTGATATTTGCTTATTGCGGTTCAACTCTCAATAATAGGAGCCTAAAGGCATACTTTTTGAGAGTGGGGTATAGAAGGGCTTTTAAGAGAGAGGAAAAAAAAAAAAAAAAAAACACTAAATGGCTCTAAAAGGAAATGCCCACTTACAAATTCTTTATGTGAAGGAGCATTTTTTTACTTAAAAAGATGATGAGCATGATTGGTGATTAACAAATTGGGAGGATGGACTTCATGCAACTTCTCTTAAGTGGAGAATGCTTTTTGATTAATTTAATTAAAAGTTGGAATATGGCTCTGCCTTATGCTCTCCTATGATGCTTCAGCTGTTCTTGCTCTTTACCTGTTTATTCTCTCTCTCTCTCTCTTTTAACCTTTTCATTTCCAAAATTTTTACTGATACTTCTCTTCCAACTGTTATGTTCAGATGCTGAAGAATGCAATGAGCATTCTTGTTCCCAGAATATGCCAAATCCTATGGTTTGGCACCCCACTTGAGGCCTTGAGGGTGTTTGGTATGCACCTTTACACATAATTTTATTCCCTTTTTTTTTTACATCTTCAACATTTTTAACATGAATTTGTTGAGATAGATGCTCATGTTAATTTATAAGGTTAATGTCGTTGGTGTCTTCTAAATTTTGGGGTCATTCGTAGTTTGCCACTTTCATTTTATCTTCTCAATTTAAAATTTATCCCACTTAATCCTTTTTGTGAAACATTTTGTTAAAATCAGCAGAAAAAAGGGTTAAGTATGATGATTGGTCTCCTTGCATTTGTTTTTAATGGAAGTTCTAATAAAAAAACCGCGTGATCTTACCGTCTCCTTTTCTTCATCCGTGTTTAATAGAAATTCTAACATAAATGAGTTAAGTGAGACCAAAGGATAAATTGAGAGTTTTAAGATTCGAAAATAAGAAACAAACACCTATGAGAATAATCCTAATTAATATTTAGAAATTATAATTTGTGCCCATCATCAGTCAGTATATGGCACTCATCCTTGGCTATGGGCCCAATACTCAACTTCACCTTTGTTTACATAAATGGGCTCTGATGGGTCCTGTCAAAGTCCTGAGAACAACTAGGAACAACTTGATCTGAATTGGTTTCTAAGTTTGTTAATGTAGATGAGTTAAGTTAACTACCATGGCAAGCCATCCATAGTATATATAAAGCTCCTGATTGGAGTTCCTTAAAGACTTAATCAAGGAAATCTAAGACATGAAAGGGAGTTAAACAGAAAAAGATTACGACAAAAGCTTCAATCTTTGCTTGCAGTAAGGGATGGGATGGGGATGGTAAGCGTTTAATCATCCTTGAAAATGCTACAAAAAGAATATTGATGAGTAGCATTGTGCACATCCTAATCTTACACAAAATCAAAAAATTTGTCAAACAAAGATTTTTTTACAAACAATCAACTTCTAAATGTACTAGCCTGGTTAAAAAAAAATTAATTAATTTGCATCAGTCATCAGTCATTTAATGGAGTGATTGTTCTCCTTTGTAAGGTCACGTATTCAAGTCAGACCTCGTATTCGAGTTAGCCTGCAGATGTCTGTAGAACGCGGGACTACTTACCTCTATTCCTATGAACCACTTATTTAACTCTAAATGCAAAATAAAAAGCAATTTCTGTGCTACACGACTATACTAATGAGGTATCATCGTGATGTTAAACTTTGGCAAAGAAATCATATTCAATTCTAGCCATAAACTTCTCTCTCTCTCTCTCTCCAATTATTATAGTTACAGGCAACTGTCAAACCAGCTTTTCTCTTCCACTTCATTGAGCTTGCAAGAGGTAAACAGCCAACAAGAATCAAAGCTTGATAATGACATCAATATTAATAAAGAAAGCGCCTCTAATTCTTGATTCATGACCAAATCAAACAGGGAAGGAAGTGGGGCTCTATTACTATAAAAATCATTATTGCAAGAGAATCAAGTTTTGTATTATTATATATTTGACCCACGTCTTTAATCATGTATGGAAAAGTAATAAGCAGAAGCCCAGATACACATAAATTTCTTGCCATTTGCACCCCAAACTCAGGTTCCAAAAAAGCTGAGTTAAATGCCAGGCATACCTTTTTTTTTTTTTTTTTTTTTACATTATGTACTATTGCAACAAAGATGTAGTCCCATAATCCTTGCTTTTATCCAGGCTGCTCTATGCTTAGTTTTTACAATCTCCAAAGCTCCTTCCTTGACTATGTACAGCTACCATGAAACAGCTCACAACAAGCCATGATCAGCGGTAGGCGCGACGCCAAACTTCTCTATTTACAGGACTCTATATACAAGGGGGTAGTTAGCATTGCATGAATTGTTGCACCAGTCTTTCCTCCGTAGGTCAGAGCATGTAATCAAATAATAATACATGTGTGTCTGGGATAACGAAAGAAGGCAGGTTTTCGATGTAACGATAGAAGCGTCTCAGGTTTTCCTTTGCAAGAGTTACCGGATCAACCACATCATTGTTGCTCGTGAGAACCCACAAGTCTGTCGAGCTAACTCTCTTGAGGCTGCCGCGGCAGAATGGGCAGGATTCTGATCGCGCGTTCCTGTGATTGAAGCACATTTTTTAGTTACAAAAAGAACAAGAAAGCTTATTTCTCTAACTACACTTTCCACGGGTAATCAACAATTTTCATGAATGTTCAAAATTAACTTGAAAGGCAAAAATAGAAAATGATGGTACCAATCATGGAAGCAGCAGATGCACATAGAGTGCCCACAGTTTGGCAACACCATCATCGTTCCATTTTCCATGCATATCCCGCATTCATCATCTCTCTCTAGGTCTTTATCCGAAACCACTCTTCGGCTTTCCTCTCGTTTACCGCTTAAAACTTCTGTGTACTGGTTTCTAGTGTCATCACCATCCAATTCAATAAACTCGCCTCGAAGTTGCCTGAGTGAAGGATATATCACAGCTGCAACAAGATTTCAATCAAAAACTACGACGAAAAAATGTGGTAACCCGGAAGTGTTTAAAAGGTCACAGATAAAAAGACATACCATAAAATTCCCTTAAACTGGCTTTCCTTTCTTTTGAGGAAGACGCTGAAGGAATTCCGTCAACATATACCTAAACCATATATGCAAGGCTTAGTTTTGGTTTTAAGAAACTATAAATAAACAGCAAAATCACTTAAAACAGTTAAACTAGCCCCATTGAATTGATAATCATGGAATTAAGAAACAAGATAACAATTAAAAAAAAAAACCTTGTATATTAGTATATGGAGAAGGCCTAAATAGCTAGGCAGAGAATCAGTGCAACTATAGTCCATCCATTCAATCAAATACAGGAAAAGCGGAGCCAAGGGACTGTAAGACAATCTCATCTGAACACAATCCCCATTATAATCCCTGGGGAGAGAAGCAGCCCTGCAAATCCTCAATCAAAATCAAGATGGTCAACTCATCAGGGTCAACGCCCAAGAAGGAGAAAAGTAAATGGAATGGATTACATGAGCTTTATAAAAAATAAATAAATAATTATTGAAAATACCAAACTGTTAGACCAAACAACCTTGGAAAACTTATTAACCCACCTTTACAATTTTTATAAGAAAAAAATAACTTGCTTTTAATAACAAACTATGCAGGAACATGAAAAGACTGGACAAGTAACAAAATTTTTTTGAACAAAATGGCCGTAAGTTATATATGATTGATTGGTTGATGCATATTTCACTAAAACAAATATTCAGAAATCATCAATATACAGTGAATTTTAAACCCTTCTTGACATATATCATCCAAAAAAGTACCACAATTCCGTTCAATTAACAACCCAATTTACTCAATTATACAAAAAAAAGGGGAAAAAAAAACTATTGCTTTACTGATCAAGAGCATAAAAAAGGCAAATGTGTATCAGAGAATTCGATCATAGACAACAGCAAAAAAAAGATAAAAATTGGAAATTTAAACCAAAGTTCAAATTTTTAAGACCCTCAACCCCCAAAAACAGAAGGAAAAAACTCACAAGTTATTGGCATGCTGTATATCCGCTTCAAGAGCTTTGAGAGATTCTCTGTAAGAAGATTTATTCGCCTGATTTTGCCACATATGTTCACCCTTTAAGGAAGAAAAAAAAAACACAGATAGAGAAAGAGAAGGAAGAAAACCAAATACAACAACAAAAGACAATACGAGGAAAGAGAACGAGATTAAAAAACAAAAAACAAAAGGATTATAGTTTGAGAGAATGTTGGAGAAGAATAGTTTGTTTAAAAACATGAGATTGAAGGAAGATAGAGAAAAACTTGATATATATATATATATATATATATGTAGAGAGAGAGAGAGGGAGAGAGAGAGAGGGAGAGTTTGCTTAGTTTTGAAACCTTTGAGACTAGAAGAAAAGAAAGGGATATCTTCATCATCTTTCTCTTTCTTTGTCATGTTAATGTTATCTTAATATTAAAATCTTTTTTTTTTTTTTGTCATTTATTTCTCTCAACTGCTCTTTGGAGGCTTTCCCTCTCAGCTTTTTCCAACTCTTGATTTTTACTTTCCCTACTTTCGGCTGACTCAGCCAGCTCTACCCATTTGTCGCAAAGTAAATTCTAGTAATTATGATGTGGGGCTGGGGTAGTGCAGGTGGTCATTTTCATCTTTACAAATGCACCCTGATTTTACATTTACACCCCTTTTCTCCAAAAAAAAAAAAGAAAAAAAAAAATACATTTAGGTCCCGTTTATTTTGTCATTTGAGTTTAAAATTCGAGTTTTACTACAGTAAAAAACTTTCAGAAATAGTCACATTTAACTTTTTTATTACAGTAAAAAATTCTCACATAAAATCACATATTAATTCGAATTAACGAAGTGATCAGGACCTTAGTTCACAAATTTAACTTGAAAAATTTTTATAAATGTATGTCAAACTTCTTGTTGATTTACATATTGACCCTGGAACTTTTTAATTTTGGGATTTTGTGACTTATTTATTATCCATTGATTATTGTCTGATTGGTGGACTGCATTACTATTAATCCACGAATTTAATTACAAATGATAAATGATAAAAAATTAAGATTCTGTTCATTTTATAAATTAAAATTTAAAATTTAAGTTTTATTATAGTAAAAAATTTTTAAAAATAGTTATATTTAATTTTTTTATTTTAATAAAAAATTTTCATATAAAATCATATCTCAACTTAAATTAACGAACTAAACGGTCCTAACAATCATTAGTGCAAATTGCCAGGGTGTGCATCTTATTTCTCTTTTTCCTTTGGAGTATCGTCATTAACCTTCTTTTTTCCATTTTTGTGCTAGCTTTTGGGCCAGGCTAAATGAGCATGACTGTATGAGGCTCAGCAGTCCTTAAGGCCATTGGCTGAACCTGGTCCAAAATTGTCAACTCCTTTTTTTTTTTTTTTTTCCTTCTTGAATTCAAGAAAAGAGTCTTATTCGTTTATTTTATTAATTTAAATTTTTAATTTTAATTTTATTACAGTTAAAATTTTTTATAAAAAATAACATTTAATTTTTTTATTACAGTTAAAAATTCTCATATAAAATCACATATCAACTCAAATTAAAAGCTCAAATCGATAAATTAAATGAGTTTTTTAATAGACGACCATTAATTATTCGTTGTGAATCGTTTACAATGTGATTCAATTTCAGGCAACAAATAAATAATGTTCAGCAATTCATAAAAAAAAAGTATTTTGAAAGTCACTAATAATTTAAATTAAGAATAAATTAAAACTATAAATCAACAAAAACATGTAAACTTGTTCAACATAGATTTCTCTAAACTAGTGGACCCAACCTACGACACTACACTAGATGAATTATAAGAAGAAATCAAAATTGGATTTGAATTACTCAAACAAATGAATATCCGGGTGACGTATCACTTATATTCATCAACTACTACCAATTTTCAATTGGATGACTTTCTAAATTTAATGGTAAGTGGAGTTTATAGGTTTGAAATATAGAAGGCATTGAACATCTCTCTTGTAATGTCTATTTGTTAAGACAAAGTTTAAAAATTGAGCTTGAACACTAGTGTCATTGTTAGTATACCAATTCATCTCAAAAGCTTAAGCTGTTAAGAGGTGAGCCAATAATACTTTTATATGTTAACACTCTTCTTCATGTGTGGGCTGGACAATGGGCAATCATATATGTAAATTAATTGAAAAGTCCAATACGTGAATATTTAAGCTCAATATATATTAAAGACCCAACACATGAATATTTAAGTATGAGATATATTAAAGACCCAACACATGACAATTTTAAATGGAGATAAAAAGTGCAATTACGAGAGTTTGAACTCAAGACTTTCCACTCTAATACCATGTTAGTTTACCAATCCATCTCAAAAATTTAAACTGTTAAAAGGTAGGTTAACAATAATTAACAGTCATAAAAAATAAAAAATAAAAACTCATTTTGTCTTGTCGTTTGTAGACATAACTTAAGACCGTCTCTTATGTACATTATTATAATTAAATTCATTCAGTAGGTGGTGACTAAAGTCGAATGCATTAATAAGTGGAAAACGCATATTTAAACCCATGGAATTTTGAGTTCTTGAAAAAAAAAATAATAATAATTAATAAACTCACACACACACCCAAAAAAAAAAAGTCATGAACTCATTATGTACGTGATAGAAAGAATATTACAGAAATTATTTAGAAGTGAAAAGAAAATTATCAATATTATATTAGTTTTGACCATTAAAACTTATCTGGTTTCATTTCACGTAGTTTTTCGTTTCAATATGACTTTATTATTAGCCATGATTGTATTATATGAATGAGATTTAAAAACAAAGAATGTGATTGTGGCAGAAAGAATTTAAATCTTTGAGCTTTTTTTTACCAGCTTCAAACAATAATATTGATAGCTATAAGCAAAATAAATAAAACGAAATCGGCACCGAGCCTTTCGCCATTGCCGTGTGAATTTATCAATTAAATATTCCATTATTTAAATACTTTTCTTTTTACGATTTAATATTTATCAAGTGCCTATAATTCTTCCAATAACTCGTATTAATACGCGACTATATATGTACACACCTCTAAAAAGAAACTATATGCGAACATATATACACATACGTATCCGCGTTAAATGATGGGTTGGGTATCGAATCTTGTGGGCCCCAAGAAATGGACTTCCATCTAATCAGCCCATTGTTTAGCCATTCACACGGAGAAAATGGAGAATTTACCTTGAGAGATGAGGCTGGTATTTACTCTTTATTTTTTATAAATACATATTTGTTATTGTAAGTATTTAATTAAAAAAGTTATAAATTAAGAGTAAAATATAAAAATTTTGAACTATATATTTTTAAGAGGTATTTGTCAATATTAAATGTTAAAAGGTAATCGTGATAAATATTCTTTTAAAGTGCACGAGTCAGGATTTTTACTTTTTACTATTTATTCATAATCTTTTTAGTTAAATAATTATATTAATAAAAAAGTATTTATAAAAAATAAGAGACTTATATATTTTTAAAATAAATTCTCCATTTTCTGAAGGCTTATATATATCCTAGATGATGCCACTTCATTGCTTTGTTGCTTATTGGGTATGGCTTCTAAAATCTGGGCCAAGTGGAGGGCATCTTTTACCCACTTTGTCCTCTCTTCATCACAAAATGTCAAAAACTTTATAAAAATGTATAAAAATGAAAAGGTGAGTTAAGAAGAGATATATTTCCTAATTTTTTTTCTTAACCCACTTTAATGTATACTTTTTGTCATTTGTGGGCCGTCCAATGAAAAACTCTGCAAATGTGATTGAGTGAACTACTCCTTTATTGAGTTAAGACCCGTCAATTTTTTGTCTCCTAAATTGTCTTTCTAATTAAATTTAGACCCCTTATAAATCATTTAAATATTTTTAGAAGTTAAATTTACATGAAATGATAATTAATAAATATCTGAATTTAGGGGGTTGGAAATTAATGGTCATATTCAGACAAAAAAAAATAAAAAATCTCGAAATACCTCCATCGCCTCCTCTCCTTGGATCTCTCTTGCTCTCATTATCGCTTGCAAACATTCTCTATCTCTTTATCATGGCTCCACCCGTGAGTAGATTGTCTTTTTTGCTCTCATTGTTGTAATCACCAATGGAGGCTTCCTCCAGTAGCAACGGTGATGACAATAGAGTTAAGTGAGTTTTGAGACTGGGGTCCGTTTAGTTCGCTGATTTGAATTTTTAATTTGAGTTGAGATGTGACTTTATGTGAGAGTTTTTACTGTAACAAAAAAGTTATATGTGACTGTTTCTTATAACTTTTTACAGTAACAAAACTCAAATTCTAGATTCGAATTGGTGAAATGAAATGAACAGAGCTAATAGGATGTAATTTGGGGAGTCATGATTAGGAGTTAGGGTTTTCAATTTAGAATGGTATAATATTCAATTATCAAGCTAATAAAAACATTTTTTTGACTGGCTAATAAAAAATTTTGAAATAAAATTAAAAAATAGAAATGAGTATTTTCTTTTAAAAATAAAAATCAGTAAACAGTTTTAGATAATTAATGCATTTTCTAGGAATAAACATCAGTAAATATGCTGAGCAAAATCTTAAGTAAATAAGATAAATTTGATAAATATGAAAGAAATAATTATTTTTTAAAATAAATATGTAACTAACGTAATTAATAGGAATAAAAATTTTAAATAATATAAAGTAGAAATGTATCTATTAACTAAAAAATATATATACGTGTTGATAAATAAAAAATTAGAAAATTTATAATCCCAAAATTAGAAACTCTAATCCCTAGAATCGTTGGCCACAATATGGCCTTTACTCAATCCAACAAGCCCTTAATGGCTTAACACCTTAAAATGAAATCAGACTCGTGTAGAAAGAGTAATAATTAAAAATTTTATATGTGGTTGCAGGTTTAATTTGATGGTAGTTCCATATCAACATCTACCGTGAAATATTGATGATGCCTAAAAAACTCATATTTCGCATCATTTTCAAAACCAGAAAAAACACCCCACCCTTCAAATAAAAAAAAATTAAAATTTTAATATAAAGTGAAAATAAAAGTTTTTAATGGCGAATTAGATCATAATTATTATAATATTTAAATTTGATTTTTGATTTTAAGATTATCTTTATCTTTTTACTATTTTAAATTTATTTATGTTTATCTTCTTTTTATAATGGGATTAGGATTTCATAGTGATTATTATGCTCATTCAAGCTTTTAATGATTAATGATATTGAGATTATTGGTTTTTTTCTTTTGAGTTCTTATTTTTCTTAAATTTTTATCTCGTTTATTATTATTTTTCTCTATCTTGATTCTATTTCTCCCTATTAATTCATATCTCTCTAAATTATATTTTTGTTCTTCTATTATACCCGGCCCTACATCAAAGTGAAGACGTTTCCTTTGGCCAAATCTCTCTTTTTACTTTTTCGTTCACCTTTAAGAAAGTAAAAAAAAGAAAAAAAAAGAGAGAAATCGTCCCCTGTTTCTACGCGCTTTATTGGGCCTATGATGTAGAAATGCAGCTGACTATACGTTGGAGCCCAAAGAACTTGTGCTGAGACTTTGCCTTCTATCATTTGTCTTGAGTTCCATCACGTGAAAAAAATAAATAAATAAATAAATTTTTACAATGATGAAAATAGATCAATGCTCTTATCAATTTAAACTTATTTATTTTACCGATTCTAATTTAGAATTTGAGTTTTGTTACAGTAAAAATATCTCAAAAACAGTCACATTTAATTTTTTTACTTCAATAAAAAGTTCTCACATAAAATCACATCTCAACTCGAAACAACGAACTAAACGGACCCAACTTCTTAATAGACGAATTTCGTGAATCTCAAAGTCTCCCGAAAGCACAAGATGCTAATACAGACTCTATTGTTAGCTCACAGATCGTACAACAACAAGATCAACTGTTGGAAGAAACTTTGTCGCCTAACCAGCATCCAGATTATTTTCCATCCCATGAACCTCTGCAAGAAACTTTTCTACCTATCTCGCCTACAAATGAATCTGATGATCTTCAGATTTCCACAAGCACCGCCATTTCATCAAATTGTTCTATCAAATCTTCAGATTTCCACAAAGCACCACGATTTCATCAAATTGTTCGTGTTACAGCAGTCTCTCGTGGAAACTTTTTCAAGATATTCGCTAATCATGGTGATCAGAAATCTCGAGTGTTCTTGATGTTTTCTCTATAGCGACAATGTCTCTGTAATCAACTTTTAAGCATCGATGATGGCTCGTTTCAGAGTCAAGTTTCTCAAACTCTCAGAGAATAATGACGAATTAGATTAGAATTATTTTAATATTTAAATTTGATTTTTTATTATTATATTAGAATTATTTTAATATTTAAATTTGATTTTTGATTTTAAGATTGTCTTTGTCTTGTTATTATTTTGGTAAATTTGTGCACGTACATGCATTGAAGACGATGCAAATGGGGACCATTTCTTTATGTATTTGTGTCGACGAAAAAAAGGGGCACCACCTGCATACTTTTCAAAGTTTAAAAGCTGAAAATGAGTTGGTCCGAAAGAGATTTGTTGTGTGCAAAAGCTAAAGTGAATTAAAGCATAGGGGATATTTTCACATTTAAACGCCCAAGATTGTGATGATGTTATTGCTTTTGCTTTTATTTAGAGATGCTTTTATGCAAGGCCTAGGATCTTCTTCCACTTCCCTATTCCCCATGAAAAAAAAAAAAAAATTGAAATCACATGAATAATTTATTTTAGGATGCTGGATTGCACTTGCATATCAAAAAGATAAGAAGATATTTCTCCCCCATGTCTAGTCATTAAGAATAAGCGAAAAGAACAAGCAATTTTTGTTATGAAGTTAAGAAAAAAACCCCATTAAGATCATCTAAATGAATAAATTACATTGAGATTAGTATTAATTTTTTTTAAAAAATTTGTAAATTCAATAAAATTTTGGAGAAAAACAGGACAATTGATTTAAAATCTATTGATAGAGTTTACCTTCCCCTTCCACTTCCACATAATTCTTCCAAGTATAAATGTCTCAAAGTATTTTTTTTTTATCCTTTTTTAGTGGGTTATATTATTGTTTTCTCGTCAAAGTAAAAAATGAAGTAGAAATCTTTTCTTTTCTTTTCTTTTTCCTTAGGTAAATTAAGATCCCAAAAAGCTCAAAAAGATACCAAATGTGAGTGAACATTGCTCCCACCCAAAAAAAAAAAGTGAAAACTGAAAGCTAAAGAGGTATAGACTAAAGACAGGTAACAAACAAGTTCCACATACTGATTAGCAAAAAAACAAGTTTCACATACATTCGACTTCCACAATTTTTCTTTTTTATGAAACACAAAAAACAACCGAAAAAAAAAACATCAAAACCATCATTGGTTTCTCTTGTTTTCCTCATCTTCAACCAAATGGGCTTATATTTTCCTCACCACCTAGTTTTTTTCCTTCTTCTTGCACCACCCGTTCTTTGCCAAGTAAATGGTATGTAGTTAAGTGAAGAGAAACCAAAAAAAGATAAAAAGTTTGAAACTTGAACAAGACCACATAAAAAAGTTTCCATTTTTCATTTTTTTTTTTTTTGTTGTTGCAGATTTTATCAGCATAGACTGTGGAGGCACAAGAAATTTCACTGACACAAGTACAGGACTGGCATGGATTTCAGACACGGGACTAATGAGCCATGGAACTTCTGTACAAGTAGAAAATCCAAAACCAAACTCAACCCAGTATCTGAACCGCCGAGAGTTCCCCATAGACGGCAAAAAGTACTGCTACACTTTGAGCACCCAAGAGCGGAGAAGGTACTTGGTCCGTGCAACGTTTCAGTACGGAAGCCTCAAAGACGAAGACACTTACCCAAAATTCAAGCTTTACTTGGACGCCACTGAGTGGTCGACCGTCACCATTTTCGATGCCGCGAGAGTTTATGTCAACGAAATGATTATCTGGGCACCTTCTGATTCCATTGACGTTTGCATTTGCTGTGCAACGACCGGTTCTCCGTTTATTTCCACTCTTGAATTGAGGCCTCTCACTCTCTCCATGTACGCCACAGATTTCGAGGACAGTTTCTTCTTGAGAGTGGCCGCTAGAGTGAACTTTGGCGCCACTTCTAAAGATGCTATAAGGTATGCTATATGTAGGAAACGAAGATGGCTTTTTTTTTTTTTTTTTTTTTTTTTTTTAAATTTAAGGATGTTGGGAAAATTGGGGTTTTTAACAGGTACCCAGATGACCCTTATGACAGAATTTGGGATTCAGATCTTGAAAAGAGGCAAAACTTTTTAGTGGGTGTGGCTACAGGGACAAAGAGGATAGAAACGTTGAGGAATATAGATGTGAATACTAGGGAACACCCACCAGTTAAAGTGATGCAAACGGCAGTTGTTGGCACAGAAGGAAGGCTCAGTTATAGGTTGAATCTAGAAGGTTTTCCTGGGAATGCTAGAGCCTATGCCTATTTTGCTGAGATTGAGGACTTGGGTCCAAATGAGACGAGGAAATTCAAGTTGGACGAGCCTTATTTTCTTGACTACAGCAATGCAGTTGTGAATATTGCTGAGAATGCCAATGGAAGCTACACTCTTTATGAGCCAAGTTACATGAATGTCAGCCTGCAGTTTGTTCTTTCGTTTTCGTTCGCCAAGACCCGGGATTCGACCCGAGGGCCACTGCTAAACGCGATTGAAATTAGTAAATATGTTCAGATTGGTGCAAAGACGGATAAGCAAGATTGTAAGTTTTTAGCATTTTTGGTCACGTTGCCTGAATTTTACCAGTCATTGATCAGCTAACTCATTAGTGTTTTTGCTTGCAATTGTTAGTGGCTGCTCTCATTGCCCTCTGCTTGATGTCTCCTGAAATCGCGTTGACAAACGAAGGCGATCCTTGTGTTCCAACTCCCTGGGATTGGGTGAATTGTAGCACCAATGCACCACCGAGAATAACAATAATGTAAGCTGCTCTGAGTTATTTGAATAAAAACTCTACTTAAAGTCAAAGATATTGACTTTTAGTAGCTGCAATACATATACAACTCTCTGACTTGTTTTACAGTAACCTTTCAGCAAAGAATGTGAAGGGTGGAATCCCATCTGAGCTTAACAATATGGAAGAACTTGCAGAATTGTGAGTGCCATTTTACTCAAAAACAGCATTTTCTTTTAATTCATTAGATCTTTTTTTTTTCAAAAGGTAATTGCGTTTCTTTTTTCCTATTAGGTGGTTGGATGGTAACTCTCTTACAGGGACACTACCTGACATGGCTAATCTTATCAATCTAAAAATTCTGTAAGTTCATTTTTCAATTTTACGAATGGAAAAATATAGGGAAACACTTTCTCCAAATTATATTTTTTCTTTTCGTTATCCACTTTTCATGGTGAAATGCAGGCATTTAGAGAACAACAAATTGACTGGTCCATTACCTTCTTATCTAGGCAGCTTGCCAAGTTTACAGGAACTGTATGTACCAATCTACGTCTTCTCTATCGTAATGAATTAAAGATCAGATTCAATATTGTGATGCCTACTCGGTATGTGTTTTGAAGAATATGCAGTAAAGGTAAATTCTCTATGTGACAGGTACATACAAAACAACTCTTTCATTGGGGAGATCCCTCCAGGATTGTTAGCTCGAAAAATTGTTTTCAAGTAAGCACATTTCTTTTGAAACGATTTATCAAGCACTGATAAGAATCATCAGAACAAGAAAGTCCTTAGCTCATAGCATAGAGAATTCATCAGTGGGGTGGGTTATATTTTTACAATACTAATTCTTACAGATACCAAGATAACCCTGGCCTACATAAGGTGTCACAAAGCAAGAAGAAGCACTTGAATTTGGTCATTGGAACTGCAGTTGGGGTTTCCGTCCTTCTAATAATACTATTGGTGGGAGGTTTATTACTCATCCGTACTCTCCGAAGAAAGGCATCTCGGACAAAAAGCAGTGACAGAAAAGGTATGTGCAATGCTGAGAATCTGTTGAATTAAGTTGTTGTTGAGGTTTTCGCAATCCAATATGTTATTATTTTGCATGTTAGGTTACTCTCTGCGTGCTAGCACCAAAGCTTCAACCGCCTATTCGATTTCACGGGGAGGTCATTTGAGGGATGAAGGCATAGCTTGCTATATCACCCTCTCTGAGCTGGAAGAAGCCACTAATAACTTTTCGAAAAAAATTGGGAGAGGTAGTTTTGGATCCGTATATTATGGAAGAATGAGAGATGGAAAAGAGGTGGCAGTCAAGATCATGGCTGATTCGTCTAGCCATGGGGACCAGCAATTTGTGACTGAGGTAATGTCTGTACTCAGCCCTTTCAGTTTTTGAATGTGTGCACATTTCAACTGGATATTTCACATATTATGTTATAGCTAAAATTATTTCCAATGTTTCCTCAAAAGAAAAAAAAAATACTCCAATGCAAATGCCAATGCCAATGATATATTTGGCTTAAAAAAGTGTAAACATATGTAACATATTATTCTCAATGCATAATGCTATTTTAAATGCTACGTCCACTTTCCGAAATAAAGTTTCAAGCTTTGGAATTTAAAATAGGAAAAAATTTTAAGTTTCAAAAACTGAATTAGTGAAAAAGTCAACACATTAGTTATCTTTACCAAATGCCAAACTTTAGCATTGGTATGAAAATTTGGCTTTGTATTAGAGATGCTAGCTTATCTTGTTTTGGCCAATGCCTTATATATCACATTATCAGGACAGAGCACTTTGTTAAAGATAAGAGTTCACTTGCAGGTAGCGCTCTTGTCAAGGATACATCACAGAAATTTGGTACCTTTGATTGGATACTGTGAAGAAGAACATCAATGTGTCCTTGTTTACGAGTATATGCACAACGGAACCTTGAGGGATCACATACATGGTCTACTCCCCTATATAAAAGTTTTCCTTCCATCTAACTGCTTAGTTGAGATAAAACCCACTTCGCTGAATTCCATGATGCCATGTCTTGACAGGTTGTGCCGATCAGAAGCGTTTAGACTGGCTAACTCGCCTTCGAATAGCAGAAGATGCAGCTAAAGGTTTGATACTGAACTTCTGACCAACTTTTGCACACTTCTTTCTCCAAGTTGATTCCATAAACACAAATTTAGGTGTCTGCAGGGCTCGAGTATTTACACACTGGATGCAACCCCAGCATCATACACCGGGATGTGAAAACAAGCAATATTCTCTTAGACATCAATATGAGGGCTAAAGTTTCAGATTTTGGACTATCAAGGCAGGCTGAGGAAGATTTGACCCACATCTCTAGTGTGGCAAGAGGAACCGTTGGCTACCTCGATCCGGAGTAAGTCAATAGTGACAATATACCTTTTAAGAAATGATCGATTCCTTCCTGGATTTGATAAGCTAATCATGTCAACAATCCAATATAGGTACTATGCTTGTCAGCAATTGACAGAAAAGAGTGACGTCTATAGTTTTGGGGTTGTGCTACTTGAACTGATATCGGGAAGAAAGCCCGTCTCGCAGGAAGACTATGGGGCAGAGCTGAACATTGTTCACTGGGTACGTAGAGAAGCAACTTTACCTTTGATACTGCTGTTCACTCGGAAGAATAAAACGTGCTCTAGCTAAAGTCAACATAGGATTATAAAAAATGCTGCGACTTTTTTTTTTTTTTGATAGAAACACAGAGGATTAAGTGAACTTGTACACCATGCCATGGCATCTTAATGAGAAAGAGGATGTGAGTAAACTTCCAGATGGAGAGAAAAATTGTGGGTGCCTAAGCTGTGGAACAAAACTTAAAAATACAATAATAAAAAGTCAAACAAAAGAAAACTAGAAAGCCAATTAACAGAATACGCATATCTGGAGAATCTGGAACCTGGATGTAATCTGCAAAAGTCTGGACAACACCAAAAAGATAAGAGAAAATTGTCTGTTCTCAAAGGCTCAAACTCATCTGAATTATAACTCTAAAACCCATTTCTTCTGAGTTGTAAGTGGGTCTGGCTAGTTTGTTGTTTGTTATGTGTTCTTTTGTTCAATGAGAATCCCTAGCCCACAAAATAACAATAAATAAAATGAAAGTACGGGCCACACATAAAAAATGTTATGTTTTGGTTTTGGAATCCTTCAACTGTGCTGGTACTCTTATTATTGCAGCATGGCTGCGCAGGCATATACTTTTTTTAATCTAAAATAGGGAAAAGAAAAGACATAAAACTAAATAAACCCTTGATTTGCATGCGAAATTGTGGACCTGATTGCGGTTTGTTTTTTTTTTTCAGCCTCTTAGTGTAGTAGTTAAATAATTGCATATTTGAGTTTTTAACAACACCAAACCGGTTGTTTTGCAGGCGAGATCCTTGATTCGAAAGGGGGACGTGGTAAGCATAATGGATCCATTTCTAGTAGGGAATGTGAAAATCGAGTCGATATGGAGAGTTGCAGAAGTTGCAATCCAATGCGTCGAACAACATGGAGTTTGCAGGCCGAGAATGCAGGAAATAATATTGGCCATACAAGATGCTATGAAGATTGAGAAAGGAGCTGAAGGAAGCCAAAAGATGTCTCCTAGCGGTTCAAAAGCGCAATCTTCCCGGAAAACATTACTGACCAGCTTTCTTGAAATTGAGCCTCCTGACTTGTCTAATGGCTTCCTAGTCCCCTCTGCAAGATAGCCATCAAAGGACTTAAAAATACATCAAAATGATCAAAGTATATATACAGTCACTAATATTGCGAGACTTTCCACATGTAAACTACAGCTCTTTTTGTTCCTTTTGTGATGGAGTTGGCAATAGTTTTGCACATGTACATGGGACAACAAGTAAAATCAGCTTCTAAAAGCCTTTGTTTGAAGTTGCACAGCTTAATAGAAAGCTTATTATAGATGGGCTGTTTTATTAGAGAATTTTTCGGCGTGCCATGATAAGATACCAAGGTTTACCGTCAAAATATGCATTAAATTCTGTTAGTTTTGCATGCTATTTCATTTTAATGAGATTTTGATATTATTTAATATTCAGAACGCACTACCGTAAGAACCCTACTGTATTATATTCATAGCAGACTCAAATTTTTGGATTATACTGATGATTAGGGTCCAATTTCTCTTTTGTGTTTAAGATGAAAAAGTAATCCATTAATTTCAACAGTCAGCCAAGAACGCTGGCGGAAAAAGAAAAAGAACGCTGTCAAGTGTCCACAATTGACTGTCATTTGGAAAATAATTTGGCTATGTTCATTTTATCGATTCGAGTTTTGTTACAGTAAAATTTTTTTAAAAACAGTCACATTTAATTTTTTTATTACCGTAAAAAGCTTTCACATAAAATCACATATCAACTCGAATTAACGAACTAAACGGGCCCTAAGATGTCGTATTAGATAGCTTGGTACTTTGTTAGATTTTTTAAAAACAGTCAGATTTAATTTTTTTATTACCGTAAAAAGCTTTCACATAAAGTCACATATCAACTCGAATTAACAAACTAAACGGGCCCTAAGATGTCGTATTAGATAGCTTGGTACTTTGTTAGTCTTCTGTTCAATAGAATTATTAGCCTAATTACTTTTTCCTCTCATTTTTCCCTCCATTAAAGGTGAAGAATATTGTCCTAAAGAAAAGTGGTTTAGCTGTGAGGACATTGTTGAATAAGGCTAAAAGACGTTGTTGTTAATTTAAACTAAACGTCAATATGGCTATGGGAACTAGGAATACAATAATAGGAGTTATATTAAAAGAAATATATTTTACTGCATATAATATTAATAATATGTTACATTTTGTTTGATAGGGCATATTTTAATATTGTACGCAATATATGTACCAATATTGTAAGCAAGACATCATAGATGTATGATACTATGATGAAATAGAGGAATCCCCTATTGAAGAGCCAAAACCATAATTTAATACGTCTCAACCACATTTTAAAAAACCAATTCAATTAATTTGACATCATCATAATGGATTTCTTAGTATCAAAACCCAACTGTCACCCTAATAATACGAAAATAGTAGAAAATAGACAAATATAAAAAGTTTAAAAAAATATATAGGTAAATTTTTAGTTATAAAAATTAATAGGTCATAACTTGTCAAGTTATGGTTCATAACCAGATAAGTTATGGACAAACTTGTCAAGTTATGAATCATAACCAGATAAGTTATAGACAAAAATCGTGAATTATGGACAATAACTTGTGAAGTTATGGTTCATAACCAGACAAGTTATGGGCAAAAACAGTAATTTGACATATTTATTAACTTATATAAACTATTGACCTATTAATTTTAATTCATCTTAAGTCTTGACCTATTTTCCTCTTTCTCCCCTAATAATAATGCTCCATAATTCACCTCTTATGATGGGGTCCACATAAAACCTTCCCCTGAACCGTTCAACAAGTGGACCAAAACCCCCAAAGCGGCCCCCTTTGATCAATTGGATGGTGTTATATATTAAACTAAACCCACCACAATCGATAATTTCTATATCAAAAGAGAAATAAAAAAAAAAAAAAGACCAAAACCCCCAAAGCGGCCCCCTTTGATCAATTGGATGGTGTTATATATTAAACTAAACCCACCACAATCGATAATTTCTATATCAAAAGAGAAATAAAAAAAAAAAAACTTTATATAACTTTCACAAATTAAATCAGCTAAAAATATATAAAATAAATCTTCACAGATCATACCATTTAATAAGGTGGCCTGGAGCACTTTTATAGACAAAAATAAAACGCAACATAAAAAGACAGTTTGGCAATATTTAAAGAAAACCAACCGCAAAAGCAAGATTATGATAAGAACAAGATATTTAAAAATCATTATTCTCAAAATGTGTGTGTATATATATATATATATATTAAAAAAGTATAATATACACTTACACCTTAAATTATTTATCTTTTACATAACACACCCCAATTTTAAATTTTTAATTAATTATATCCTATACTTTAAAATTAATAACAATTTAGGGCCAATATCTAATATACGGTTATCAAATTAATGAGTTGAGATACAAGATTCACACATAAAAGATAAAACTCGTCATTTTTCAAACTATGTCACACTCAAATCTCATATTTTAAACCGTCAATTTATTACAATTAAAATGTAAAGTGATTATGTAAAAAACTAAAAAATTAAGGTATAATAGTGCAATTTACAGATAGAGAAGCACACAAACACACTTTTTTCATATTATCATTCAAAAAAAGGGGGCAAAAAGAAAAGAAAAAAAAACATTTTTCTTAGTATGATTTCCGTGGCCGTATAGAGCAAGCAAAAACCAAAACAGAGAGTCTATTCAGAGCCTTTAAGCAAAGGAAAAAAAAAAAAAAAAAAGTCTCTATTCAGAGCCGCCCCAAATTTCCTAGAAAATGATTAAAGAGGCAAACAAAAGAAGAGAAAAGAAAAGGAGACCCCGTTTGTCCTCTCTCCTCTCTCCTCCCCTCTTCTCTTGTTGTTTCAAGTGAAACTTGCCTTAGCTAGCGGTTAGGTTCTCTTGTCTTGGGAAAAAAGAAAAGAAACAAAAAAAGAAAAAAAAAAACTTTTGGGGTTCTTCAATTGAAGTCTGAGAGGTCTCTGTCTTCTTTCTTTTTCCTTTGTTTGTTAAGCCTAGAGAGAGAAAGGGATAAGAGAGAGAAAGGGATATGGAGATGATGTATTACCAGCTTGCTAGGTCTTCTTGCGAGGACTCGTTGAAGGTTTTGGAGGCTGATATTCAGCACGCAAATGCTCTGTGGGTTATTTTTTCTTAAACCATTCATTAATATTAATTTTTTATCATGACTTTGTTTCCTGTTTCGCTTTGCTCTGTTCCAAGTTTTTCTTAAGTTTCTTCCTTTTTTTTTTTTTTTTTTTAAATATGTTTCCTTTCAGGGTTTTTCTGAAAGTAGTTTTTTTTTTATTGTTTTTTATTTTTATTTTTATGTTTCCTTTGAATTTGTATGTGTATGCGATTTGATCACTACGGTGATCATGATCAACATCATAATCTGCTAATTGGAGGAGGAAACAAAGATTTTTAATTTTTATTTAGGAAAATAGTAGGAACCCAAATACCAGTCTTTTTTTTTTTTTTTTTAATATTTACCAGTTTGTTTTTAAAATCTCGTTTTTGCTTAAATCTCTTTTCTGCGGAGTTTAAAGAGGAAAAAAAAATTGCCCGGGCCGTCGTGGGATTTTATGTGTCAGACTTGTGGCACTCCATAGTTTCCCCTTAATATTTAGTAACAAAAAATTGTATCTTTTCTTCTTGATTTGAGTCATTAATTGACTAAGTGGCTTGTGATTGTGAACTGTGGATATGCTATTATACTGCTTTAAACCTTTTTCTACTGTAGTATTTATGATTTTTCTTTTTAACTTGAATATCTATGAATTTGGTTTAACTTATACATACAGTGCTGCTGCAATTCCGAGGGGCAAAGGTGGTGCTTGTCTTCAAATGAAATTGGTTTACAATAACTGGGCTCCAATCTTTCTGTTTTTGTTACAATGGCTGGATTGCTCATGCACATGTCTATTACCAAGATACCTAAACTTTTTCCACATACTTGTTTACAAGGTTGGTAATTTTGATGATCATTTGAAAGAGTTTGCTTATGTTGTCACTTGTCTGTAATAAGTTTAACTTGAGCAACTTTCTCACTGCTTGCTTATTTTTATGTAAAATTAGGTATATACAGATGGGAGGCCAAACATTTCTACACACGGAAGGAAGGCTAGTATTAGGGACTTCTATGGTACGTCAAGTAGACAAGTACTCTAAGTTGTTGTTGTTGTTTTTTTTTTAATATTTATCTGGGTTGAATAATTCTGACTTTGTTTCATCGAAAACTGAACTTCAGCTGTTATATTGCCATATCTTCAGCGGCTCCACACTGACTTGGGGGAGTTTGATGATCCTAAGAAGGGGCACTTAAGCATTGAGATTTCTGGTAAGAAGAGGGTTAAAGGAGAAAGTGGTCTTACCAATGTTGATATGGAGAGAGAAGATGAGTGTGGGATTTGCTTAGAGCCTTGCACCAAAATGGTCTTGCCTAATTGCTGTCATGCAATGTGCATCAAATGCTACCGCAATTGGTAAGTTAAGACATCATGAGTTACACGTTGTGTATGTCTCTTCATGCTCTTTTCCAATGAATGTTTGATGGTTTGGAATTGGATTTTGAAGATTGGTTCTTCTACTTATAAGGGGCCAGTTTCCGATTTCCACAGGAACGTGAAGTCGGAGTCTTGCCCATTTTGCCGCGGTAGTATGAAGAGGGTAAATTCAGAAGACTTATGGGTGCTTACTTGCAACGACGATGTGGTCGACAACGAAACGGTTTCTAAGGAGGAATTGTTGCGGTTCTACCTCTATATCAATAGCCTGCCAAAGGTTTATCCAGATGCCCTTTTCTTAGTATACTATGAGTATCTAATTTGATTGGAAGAAAGTGGGAGATTGTGTACAGACAGAAGAAATGCCGACCCTCCAAATGTACATAGAGTCTGGTAAGGAAAGTTCTTTCTCGGATTCTTTCACGAAAATAACAGTTCCCATAACATGCTTATTTGAATTTTATGTAGTAGTGCGATGGAACCTTATCAAAGTTCCACATTTCATGTACAAGACTTGCTGCAATTCCATGAGCAAGCAACTTCAAATTAAGAAAAGCACAATTAATTTCACTCTTAGTTGAGACTAGTTATTACAACTTGGTCTAGCATAGTTGATTCTTTACCAAAATCCGCCCTCCCTCTCTCTATCATATTGTTTTGAACATATATTTACATTGCTCCAAAGTTGTGACATGAAAAATTTTATTTGTGTAACAATGACTTTCTCCCAATAGCACACCTTTAGTTATTATTACATATAATAAATGTCATGTTACATCTGCCGCAAATATACATGTTATGGTGTAGGGTCTATCCTCTGCAAGGACCAAAGACGGACCCTATCTTCCGTAGCGACTTTTATGCAACTTTTATGTTTGGTTAGTGGGATTGCTGTTTTTGCTCCTGCTGCTTCAGCTTCACACATCTTGCGTTGCCTTTTTTCCCCCTGTTTTCAGCAGGATTGCTGTGGCCGCGAGTGTAGAATTTGTTTCTTCTCTTTGCCTCGTTGTCTCTGCCACTCCTTTTATTCTCTTTTTTAGTTTTCTTTTTCCAAATATTCTCTAGGTTACGCAACAACGGTAGATGCAGTTTTTGTGAGGGATAAGCGTGTTTATGATTATAATTCATGAGAAAAAGATGGGAAAAATTACTCCTTCACAAGGTGTAGATTTCGAATCCCAAACTTCCAAGTTCCCAATAAAAAAAACATGGGAATGGGAAAGGTATTAAGAAAGAAAAGGAAGGAAGGTGTCAGAAAAGGAATAAGAAAGGGAAATTACCTAATTCCTTTTTATGGTTTATTTACCTATTAAAATGTGAAACTTGAAAGAATCTAATGCTCATTCAACTCTTTACCAATTTTAGAAAAAGAAGCACGAAACAATGCCATTAGTTGTTTACTATTTAAGGTTTGTTTATTTCGTAGATTTGAGTTGAGATGTGATTTTATGTAAGATTTTTTTTATTGTAGTAAAAAAATTAGATGTGAGAAAGAGAGAAATAAGTCAAGACTTGAGATGAATTAAAATTAATAGGTCAATAGTTTACATAAGTTAATAAATATGTCAAATTACTGTTTTCGTTCATAACTTGTCTGGTTATGAACCATAACTTGACAAGTTATTGTCCATAATTATCCATAACTTGTCTGGCTATGAACTATAACTTGATAAATTTGTCCATAACTTATCTGGTTATGAATCATAACTTAATAAGTTATGGCTTATTAATTTCTATAACTAAAAATTGGCCTATATACTTTTTTAAGTTTTTACTTATTTTTTTACTATTTCTCTTATTTTTAAAAATTTTTTATTATAGTAAAATTTGAATTCTAAATTTGATGAACGGTCCTTATATTGTCATGTTGTTTCTTTTTTTCTTAGCTCCTGTTTGGCACGTTTGGCACGTTGGAGTGGATAGGATTATAGGGTCGTAATTGGATTGGATAAGATTAAGTTAAATTCTATCACGTGTTTGGTAAGTTATCATATAGATTTATGTAGAGTGCATCGTGGAGCCGTACTAAATTAAGTACAATTATTGAAAATTATTTTTATATTAGCAAAGGGCAAGGCGCTATTCATTTTCTACTGAGCGACAGCAAACCTTCTTAGAATGAACGGCATGTCGTTTTATGAGAAACGTGCATTCCCGACAAAAGAAGGTATATAATTGACTTTAACGAATTCTATTTTGGAGTCTTAGCGTGTGGGTATGGAAAGACGAAAACTGATTCCTATTGATTCAAAACTTTAAACCCTTCCTTACGGAAGGCAATGCTTAGAGAATAAGCAGATTTAATATTGTACGACATCCACAACTTTATTCTATTTTGGCTATGTCATATATCATAATGATATAATATTTTCTAAGCTTTATGGAACCGTATTTAATTGTACTCAATCAATTGTCTTAGTATGAAGAATTGTATTTGACATTATAAATAATATTTCAAGGCATAAAATCCTTGAACTTTGTGTTGTTATGGTATTTCTAAATTCTCATAAATAAAACAAAACAACAAGAATAATAGAAGAACAATAATTCAAATAATAACGGGTGTTTTTACTATATAAGTTGTAGAATACAGAGTCAGTAAACCAAAGGAATTAACTGAGGCTCTCTGAATGTTGTTCCCATCCGGAGCTTAGATAAATAGTCCTAGCTAGTAACAACACTTTTTATTGTGTTCTATATTCTATTGGCATTTCTTCGCCTTAAGGATGTCCTGAAACGAGGGTTGGCAATACCCTTTGTTGAGGAAGAGGTCAGCGAGTTGTGCATTCATGGCACCCGTGAAATGAATGCCATCCCAGCTGATATACTTGCTAGAGTCCTGGCACGTGGACGAGCCGGAGGTTCCGCAGATCCTGTTCACGTCGAAGTCATAGCCGTTGCTGCTGTCGTGTGCCCCGCAACAGGCCTTGAAGGGCTCCTCGAAGTGGTAGCTCTTGTAGTTGGCCAGAATGGTCTGGTAGGCGCCGTAGGTGTCCACGTAGGAGATGATGCGGTCGGGGTACTTGTGTCGGAAGTGCTCCAGCTTCTGTTGGAGGAGGGTGTTGTGGGCGATGATCACCGCGTTGGCCTTAGCCGAGCACCCCGATTTGTCGCGGTCTGATGGCGAACACCTCGATAGTTGGGATGGAAGGCAGCCCATTGGTCGCAGCCCTTGAACCATGATGTATTTGGCGCCGTTGTTGATCAATGCCTGTCACACAACACAAGCAACGATGTAAATATTGGTTGTAGGTTGAGAGAAAATTGTGCAAACTAATCCTGTGAGCCTTTAAAGTCCAATAGTTTTCGATATTTTGGTATTTTGGGAAACTATTTGTATCAATTTAGTGAAGGATGCGAAAGAGTTAAGGTGGGTTATAAATAAGACTAATGCTGCAAGCTGATTTAGTTGTGTCTAGAGATGAAACTCTTACGACTATTAATTATTAAGCAAATAAAAGTGTCATAAAGGGATGGCATGGAAAAAAAATAAACAATAATGCAAGCCAACATGTTTAATATTGTACACAAAATCTTACCTTGAGAATTTTGCAGGCGTGAATGACAGAGAGCTTGTTGAGATATTGAGACTTGATGGAAGAACCATACATGCGGGAGTAGTCACTACTGCCAATGCCGCCAATCCAGAAGAGGGTGTTGGCCATGTCAGCCCGGCATGCTCTCTCCCCTTTTCGCCTACTCTTCTCTGCATAAACGTTGTTGAACCAATCTATTTGAGTCTCATATGTCACCGGCGTCTTACCCCATAAGAAAGAAAAAAAACTTTCTTGTGCACAAAGTCATCTTTTGATAGGGATGTTGCCCCTGCTATTGCGAAGTTCACACTGCCATCAATTTCACTACTGCGACCTCCAGAAGCATAGCCGCCAGCACCAGCACTGCTTCTACCGCCACCACCACCACCATCGATGGAATTGTAGACGGACTTGAAAAATGTCAAATGGCGGTCATCACTATTATGACCACCTCCAGCACCGCCGCCGCCACCAACCGAGCCGTGGAAGGACTTCGAAGATGACCAACCGTTGTTACCACTGCCTTTACCGCCACCACCGGCACCAGAACTGCCACCACCAGCATTGACACTACCAGCAGCACCAATAGAACCGCCGCTGCCAGCACCGCCACCGCCACCAGAACCGCCACCGCCACCATTAGAACCGCCGCCTCCAGCACCACCACCACTAGAACCGCCGCCACCTGCACCATTGTTGTCACCACTGCTCCCAACTGTGCCCCCACCACCACCACGGAGCCTCCAGCACCGCCACCGCCACCACTAGAACCACCGCCACCACTAGAACCGCCGCCTCCAGCACCACCACCACTAGAATATTTTCTACCTGCACCATTGTTGTCACCACTGCTCCCAACTGTGCCCCCACCACCACCACGGATGGAGCCTTTGAAAGAATTTGAAACTAACCAGCCGTTGTCACCACTTTTTTTGCCACCACCGCCACCGTTGTTATTGCCGCTGCCACCACCGTTGTTATTGCCACCTCTAATAGAACCGTCACCACCACCACCGCCACCATTAGAGCCTTGGAAGGACTTGAAAAACGACGAACCGTTATCACCATTACTTCCAGCACTACCACCGTTGCCACCTGCCCCGCCGCCGCCTCCACCACCAGAGCCACCACCGCCTCCACGTACGGAGCCTTGATAAGAGTTAGAAAATGACCAACTCTTATCAACACCACCATTGACGCTACCATAACCAGAGCCAGCACCACCTCCATTGCCGCCAACACCACCATTAATGGCCTCGTAAAAGGGGAGAAACGTCAAACGGCGGTCACCACTACTGTGACCACCACCACTACCATAACCGCCGCCGTTGCCTCTTGCACCACCACCGCCACCTCCACCAATGGAGCCGTGGATGGAATTGGAAGCCGACCATTCATTCTTACCACCTCCACGACCACCACCACTGCCGCTGCCACCACCATATCCAGAAAATTCCTTGGAAAGTGATTTGTAAGGTGTTACGGTCGCCAAGCCCAAGCCTTGCGTGAGGTAATCAACTACTAAACGACCATTTGTAAGTCGATGCCCAGACAACTCATAGCCACCAGAGCCATGGGATGACTTGGAATATGACCATTGACCCCCACGGCCACCGCCGCCGCCAAAAGAGCTACGAAAGGACTTGGAATATGAAGAGCCATCATTGCCGCCGCCGCCGCCAGAGCCTTTGAATGACTTGGAATGGGATGGGCTTACGCTGCCGCTCGAAAAGAATTGGAGATTGCCTAGCATGTAGCTGTTGCCATTATCAGTAGACGAATCTCCGAAAGCATAGACTTTGGAGAAGCAGCTTTTGTAATTGACGGTGGGTTGGGAGGGTGGCGGAACCGAAACCACCTTTTCATGGCTCTTGTTATGAGCCCAAGACAAAGGGAAGGAAACGAAGAGGACGAGAAGTGAACTTTGAAGGAACCAACGCTTTGAGGTTGACATGTTTTTTTTTTTTTTTGGGTTAACTTTTCAGTGAAAGAATGTTATGTCCAATTGCCATTTTATAGTTATGCCTGTGTGGATTATGGATGAACCTCCATTTTCTTAGGAAAGGTAAAAGGTGAATCCTAGGTCGGAATTTGCTTGGCCAAAAACAGAGAGTACAAAAACAGTTTTAGGCTTTTACGTGATTAGCCCTTTATTTCTGGAGACATCATCGAAACTTCACAAATGTCATAAATAGAAGTTCCTTAACTAGATGCCACGTCCATGGATTTTATCTCTCCAGACTCAATCTATCTATAGCTGTTTCTTTTATTAGGAAAAATTGACGTCCGCAAGGGAAAAAAAGAAAAAAAATCTGAAGAGAATTCCATGTGATGCAACCTAATCTATTTTCTTTGTTGCTACCTTGAATTTTGTGTCAAAGTTGTAGGCCGTGTTTAGAATTGATCATGCTTTTATTTTTTACGTTTTTTGAAAAAAAAAAATGAAAACGTTTTTCAAACGGTATTTGGCGCAATAAAAATTAAAATTATAAATGAAAACGATTTTTTAGTTTAGTATAAAATGATAAAAAAATGAAAAATGACTTTTAGTCATTTTTTATTTTTTATTTTCATTTTCTCCTCTCTCAAGTAGAGAGAGAAATATAGATATTAATATGTTTTTTTATATTGAAAATAATATCTTGATAAAACCACTAAACGCATTTTCAAAAATAATTTCTGTCTGAGATTGAAAACGTTTTCATTTTCATTTACATACAAAAAAATAAAATTATTTTAGAACGAGTTTCAAACGCGTCCTAGTATTTTTCCAATTTCATTAAAATTTAATTATGGTTTTAGCTGTTTTGGTCATTCTTACTTAATTATAAACCGTCGTTTATTTTATTGTTAGACATAGATTTCGTTCATTTCACCGATTCGAGTTTTCAGTTTTAGGTTTTTATAGTAAAAAAACTCTCAGAAAATGTCACATCTAACTTTTTCTGCTACAGTGAAAAGTTATCAAAAAATGTCACATCTCAGCTCGAATTGAAAACTCGAATCCGCGAAGTGAACGAGGCCATAGTAATGCCTTTTCAACATGTCTTTAGTATAAAAAAAATGTGAAATGTTCCTTGGACATTACTGGGAATTTTAAGTACTGCTTCTAATTGGAAAAACTGGTATGATTTTTCTATGCAAAGTTATAAAACTTGTCTCGGTTAAGAAATAACAGGTCGAAGCTGGTTACTTAAAAAAAAAAAAAAAAAAAAGAGGGACATTGTCACATTGATATCCATTTTTGTTTGTATATGAGAACAGGCTTCTACTTTTCTCGTTACATGTACCATACGTAGAAGCGGCTTGGTTGGACCAAAATACTTATTTTGTTGTCTACTTAGAGTGTGTTTATTAATCAGGAATTGAAAAAATAGGAAATAAATTCAAAAAAAAAAAAAGAAGTTAAGTTACAGAACTCCATTAAAGTGTTTATTAATCTATTTTATAAGGAGAAATAAATTCCTATTATGTTGTTTACTTACATAAAAATTAAAAAGAATAAGAATATAATAAATGTGCTTATAAAAATACTCTTTTGTTAAGTGAATAACTAACTTAGTAAATAGGTTAGTTAGTTCCTATTTATTAGGGGAAGGAATTAAATTCCCTAAGTAACAGGTGAGATATAAGTTCTCCCTTATCAAGAATTGGTCCCGTTCATTTCGCCGATTTGAGTTTTACTACAGTAAAAAGCTCTCACACAAAATTACATCTCAACTCGAATTACAAATTCGAATCAGCGAAGTGAACGGTTCCTCATTTGTAGATAGGTCCACGTAATTCAACTACTAAATACAAAAGTAAACACAAGAATCTAAAATCAAGAATTTAATTTTCAGAATTTAATTTTCATTTCTGAAATTGGATTCGTGGTTAGTAACCGCGCCCTTAGTTCTAATCTAACGGTTTATATAAAATTCATATTGTTGATTCTTTATTTCTCTTTTTGACAATTCCTATTTTCATAGCTGCATAGGTTTTTTTTTTTTTTTTTTTTTTTTTCACATTCCTACTTTCCCCTACTTCGTTTTAGCTATTGTTTCACATTTAAACTCTGTTATCTTTCTCCTTTTTTATTTTTTTTTTCTCACGGAAATTCTTCATAGCATCAAATTAGATGGCGGGCTTTGTTTGATTATCATTTTTTTTTTCTCTGCCATTTCCTACCTTCATTTTCTTGATAAATCTCTCAAAGTAAGCCCAAATCTTTGCATATTATTGTTATGAGAAAATTGTAGAATCTAACCTTAAAAGTATGGTCTGAATTTTTACTCATCATTTTAGATTAATATTCTTTTATTAGTATAGTTATTTAATTAAAAAAATTATTAATCAAGAATAAAATTATGATTTTTATACTTTTAAGAGTATTTATCTTATTTTTCCGTTAGTTATATGTCATCCATTGCTTTCTTAGAGTGATCTTTGTTTATGTTAGTACATCTTGGAAAGTTGATTGTTGATAATGAATCATTTTTTTTAAAAGATATATAATGAATCAGTTTTTGGGTCCCTAGATTAAGCCATTCACCATGTGACCCGACGAAAATTATTATTATTGTTTTTACAAAAGAGAAAATAAAGAGTGCTGCAACTAGAAGAAAAGAAAATGATCCTCGAAAAAAAGGAAGAAAAGTAATGAGATACGTATTTTGAAAAAGAAAAAAAAAATGACGTGTTGTATACTTGTATTCAAAGTTTTTCTGTTGTTTATTTATTTACACTTTCCTGTCGTTTTCTTGGAGTACGACATGTCCTTGCGTCACACTGTCAAATGTCGATTGTCCAGAATTTTGCTGTCGTTGGATTTCTTGAAAGAACGTGGCGTTTATTTGTCTTTCGTTCTGTTTATTTTATCAATTTAAATTTAAAATTTAAATTTTATTATGATAAAAAATTCTTAAAAAGAATTATATTTAAATTTTTTACTATAATAAAAAGTTCTCATATAAAGTCACATCTTAATTCGAATTAAAAACTCAAATTAACGAACTAAACGGACTCTTTTGCATATTATACGTCATTCTCATTTTGTTTTTAAAGTTGCTTAATTTTGTGTCGAGAAAACAACATACATATCAATTTTTAAAGTTGTTTTTATCATTTATGCTTGGTGTCGTTAAACGACATATAGTATATTCTTTTGAAGTTTCTTGTCTTACGTAAGGGGAAACGACATTCCCTTTTTTGTTTTTCCCCTCTAAAGTTTGCTGTCATTTAAATTGGTTTAAATATGTAAATATAGGCGTCGTTCATTTTATTGATTCAAATTTTTAATTTTAAGTTTTTACAGTATTAAAAGCTCTCAGAAAATGTTACATTTAACTTTTTCTACTACAGTTAAAAGCTCTCAGAAAATGTCGCATATCAACTCGAGTTGAAAACTCAAATCTACGAAGTGAACGAGGCCGTAAAGTTTTATGTCGTTTTTTTTGGCATGTGACATGTCGTTTATAGATCAAAGCTGTTGGATTTTTCTGGAAACGACATACTCATACCTTTTATGTTATGAAACCGAGTTGTCGTTTACGTTTTTGGCTTTTGGGTTAAAAATTTTATTCTCATTTATATCATAAAAACCATAGGTCATTTATGTTTTTAAAGTTGTGAATTTTATATAAATGTACAATATATTTTGGGTTTATTCCGAAAGATACACAATTTATTTTGGAACTCAACAAATTTATACTATGAGATTTAAAGCGTACAAAAAATTTTTACTATGCTCAAACTTGACCCTGTCGTGTATTTTGAAATTTTCTTTGTTTTTTTTGATAAGTTGTTTTTTTTTTTTTTTTTTTTTTTTTTTTTTTTTTTTTTTTTTATTCACAAAATCATGGTACAGATTTATTTTTTTTATTTTTTTTATTTCCCTTGTCAAGCTCATGATTATTTTGGAAGCCATTTAGAAGTTCAGGAATGAAATTTGTTTCAATCTCTGCCGTTTCTTTCGACGTGTAGTTTGCACCTTGATAGTTATTTATTTATTAAAAAAAATTGATTACGGAATATTTCTTTTTATTTGGAGACGTTTGGTTCATAGATTATAATTATGTGATTAGAATTATTTTTAATTTATGTGTATTTTTTTTGAGAGAAAATACTATAGCGAACTACGAACCATGATTCGAATCAGGGAATGAATCTAGGTACCAAACATCGTCTCTTATGCTGTTTTAGATTTAATTTAACCCAATGGGAGGCTATTCCAAGATTTGTATCTCGGCTGATTTGGCTTAATTAAATTTCAAGTCCTTTCCTAAGAATATATATTTTTCTTTTTTTTCTTAATAAGAAATCGAATTCAACATGTTTTATCCCATAAAAAAAAAAAGAATTCACATGTTTTATTTTGTCTTGGAAGTTGAAACTCGGCATATAATATAACCTAGAGAAGAAAGGACGACATATGTTTCGTGTGGATGACCTGTCCCAATATGTTTCCCACCTAAATAATAATAATTAATTAATAATAAATAAAAAAACCCCACTAAAAAAAATAAACAGATGAAAATGTCTGAAGACTCTTAAGATTCGTTTGGTATGATAATTTAAATTAAGATGATTTTAATTATGATTTTAAAATTAAAATTATGATTCATGATTGTAGATTCAAATTATGATTTTGCAATTATAATTTAAAATTATAGATTTGAATCATCTTGAATTAAGCGAAGGTGATTTTAGAATTATGATTTGAGCTAGTTTAAAACGTCACATCAGATTCTGAATCATCCAAACCAAACACTGATTCTCAATCATGATTCAGAATCACTGTAAACAAATACTGATTCAGAACTATGATTTAGAATCATGATTCTGGATCCATCTAGTAAACGCACCCTTAGTGAACGTTTGATTCATAGATTTAAAACTATAATTCAGAATCATTTTTAATTTATGTATACACTATAACAAGAATACGAACTATAATTCGAATCATAACACAAATTCACGTACCAAACATCAAAACTTAAAATGAGAGTATTCTAAAAAAAAAAAAAAAACTTTAAATGAGAGCAAAAAGCTGAAAACTAAAACTTAAAAAAAACCAGAAGAGAGAAAAAAGAGTGAAACATTACGTACTCCGGTGGGCAGCGACTCAGCAGCGTCGGAAATATCGCCGGAAGTTGTTTGTCTTCGTCGATTCGAACCCAATTCCGATTTGTTAGACTGTTTGGATAATTCAATTTCCGGTATCTCATTCCATTCTCTCCTCAAAATCTAACATTTCCCTCTTTCAATTTCCGTTTTCTAGGGTTTATTTTCCCAATTTCGGGGTTTCAACTGATTTAATTGTGATCTCAAAGGTCGTATTTTCGTGCAGTTTCAGCTCCGAATTCGAAGTGGAGGGAGAAAGCGAATCGGTTATGAGCCGTTGACATGTCTGAGAATCATGATTCCGAGTTGCTCGAGGGAGGTTCTGGTTCAGCGGAGTTGAGCTTTTCGGAGCCGGTTTTGGTTCCAATCCAGTCGAGTGAATCTTCAGATGGATTTACCCATGTTGAAGCTTCAACGAATGCGATTCACAGCGATGATAATCAGGTAATGGGAAGTTTGGGAAATCTTTTGTGTTGTATTAGGTATTGTGCAGTTTGGTTGATTAGAAAACGTGTGAATTTCAGGAATTCGTAGAGGGCTCTTCGCGAGGAGATGACGAAGATGAAGCAAAAATTGCGGAGGATGCGGGAAAGGAAGACTTGTTCGTCGATTGCCCGGACGAGCTGGTTGGAAATGCCGATGGTAAAGAAGCGGTGGTTTCTACGGAAATGGAAGAGAATTCGGAGGAAAAGCTTAGTTTGGAAGAGACATATGGAGGTCAAGATGGCTTCGCCGCTACCGGCGACGAAGTGGAACGCCTTCGAGCTAAGCTTGATAAGGCTCTCCGTGAGAAAGAACGCGTCTCGCATGATCACGAGGTGGATTGGATTGGTTTATTTTTGTTAAAGGGAATGGTTTTGATGCAAATTTTATTTTTTATTTTTTATTTTTTTTGGTATTGATTATTGGTGTTTTGTAGGAAGAAAGAGAGGGTTTTGCTAGAGAACTTGCTAAACTTAGGCACCAGCTCAAAGCCCTCGCCAATGGAGAGTCATTGCTGCTTGGTGGAAGTGGCGGTGAAGAGGAGAATGGCACTGGTGTCTCACTAAATGAATTGATGAATGAATCGTCTCGGATTGTTCAAAGTGCTTATGAAGAAAGGTTGGCTACTGAGGCCAAGATAAGAGAGCTTCATGATGTTATTCTTGCAAAGGATCAGGAGATAGAGGTACTCAATGCTAAGGTTAAAGAATTCCCGGGATCGGATGTTGAGATGGTAACGGATAGATTGTTAGCTTATTTTACTGGGGTAGTTGGTCAACAAGAACAGTTAGATGATTCTATTGGCGGGAAATTAGTTTTTATTGAGAGAGGCGCTTATATGTTGGGTGAGAGGTATAATATGATCTTTTATGAGGTTGATCAACTGAGGCAGTGTTTTTCTGAGGCCAGGTTGGATGCTGGGTTGCAGGATTTGGGGACATTTTTCACTGTTGCCCGCAGTGAGTTGGTTGAACTCAAAAGAAGGGAATTAGAATTTGCTGAAAAGTTGAGCCATCTAGAAGAGGAAAATAGGAAATTGGTTAAACAACTTGACGAGCAGAGGGCGGTGGTTGAAAGAGTGAATGTAGAAATTGGTAAAACTAAAGCAGAACTTGAGCAGGAAAAGGTTAGGAGCAGTAATACCAAAGAAAAGCTTACCATGGCTGTGACAAAAGGTAAAGCATTGGTGCAACAAAGGGAGTCGTTGAAGCAGTCTTTGGCTGAAAAAACGAGTGAGCTTGAGAAATTCTTGGTTGAATTGCAGGAGAAGTCGAGCGCTCTGGAGGCTGCTGAATCACATAAAGAGGAGTTGTTTAGAAGTGAAAATTTGGTTGTCTCATTGCAGGAAACACTTTTCCAGAGGAATGCAGCTATTGAGAAAATCGAAGAAATGTTTTCTGAGAGTGGTATGCCCGATGAACTTCAATCAATGGAAATCATCCAGAGGTGTAGATGGCTTATTGATGAGAATGATAAACTGAAGGGTATTTCCATAGAATTCGACAAAGTAAGAGATGCTTTGTCTTTGATTCATGTACCGGAAACCGTTTCATCTTTTGTATTAGAATCTCAAGTGCATTGGATTAGAGACTCGTTACACCAGGCCAAATCCGAGTTAGATGCAATGCAAGATGAGATTGCTACTACAAGGGAGGCTGCACAAAAAGAGATAGACCGCTTGACTGCTTCACTTTCAGCTGAATTGCAGACGAAGGATCATCTTCAAACAGAGTTGGATGATCTGACATGCAAGTACAGAGAGATTGTTGAAAAAGAGCATCGAGTTTCCTTAGAGAAGGATCACATAGTCAAAATGCTACTTGAAGCCTCAGGAATTGCAATGGACGATGAAGTAGTATCTCAGTTGTCCTCTGATGATGTCACACTCGTAGAAAGATGTTGCGCGGAGATGAAAGAACATAGTAGTGTTTCTTCCACTTCTTCTTATGTTGATGCCGAACTGTTTGAAAAAGTTCAGAGCTACTTGTATGTGAGGAGTCAGGAGTTGGTGCTGTGTGAGCTTGTACTACAAGAAGAGATGTTGATGAGATCACAAGTCATTAATCTTTCCAACGAGATGAGGATGGTATCACAAGAACTAGCGGCAGTGAAAGAGGAAGAGGAGTCTCTACAGAAAGATCTCGAACGATCCGAGGAGAAATCAGCCTTGCTGAGGGAGAAGTTATCTATGGCTGTGAAGAAAGGAAAGGGGCTGGTTCAGGATCGGGAAAACTTGAAACTTCAATTGGATGAAAAGAAGTCTGAAATTGAGAAACTCAAACTTCAGCTTAAGCAGCAAGAATCAGAACTTGCTGATCACAGGGAGCGGATCAGTAGTTTGTCTGTTGATATAGAGCGCATTCCAAAGTTAGAGATGGATCTTGCTGTTATAAAAGAAGAAAGGGACCATCTAGCCGCAATAAAAGAAGAAAGGGATCAACTTGAGAAGTTTTTGTTGGAGAGCAACAACATGCTACAAAGGGTAATTGGATCTATTGATAAAATTGATCTTCCCGTTGATTCAGTTTTTGAAGAGCCTGTAGAGAAGGTGAGCTTGCTTGCAGAATACATCAATGAATGCCGGGATGGCAAAACACTTGTAGAAGAAGAAATGGTGAGAGTAAAAGAGGAAGCCAATACCCTTTATCGCAAGCTCGTAGAAGCTGAGGCAAGTATTAAGTCATTGGAAGATGCATTATCAGTTGCAGAGAATGAGTTTTCTCGACTTGCCGAGGAGAAGGGGGAAATAGAAGTTGCTAAGGACAATGTCGAAAAAGAGTTGGAGAAAGTAAGAGAGGAAGTTTCTTTGCATAGTAGCAAGTATGTTGAGGTCTCTGAGTCTAAGAGGTCAACGGAAGAGGCGTTATCACTTGCAGAAAACAATATGCTAGCAATCATTAGTGAGAAAGAAAGTGCTTTAGTTAGTAGAGATGCTGCAGAGTCGGAGCTAGAGCAAGTGAAAGAGGAGGTTGCTATCCAGACCAGCAAATTAACAGAGGCCTACAAGACCATACAGTCGCTTGAAGATGCATTATCTGAGGCTCGGAACAATGTGAATGTACTGAATGAGCAAAATAGTGATGTTGAAGTCCAAAGAACCAATTTGGAAAATGAGCTGAAGAAACTACAAGAAGAAGCTGGGTCCCAGGTTAGCAAGCTAGCAGATGCGACCGCGACCATAAAGTCGCTGGAAGATGCATTACTGAAGGCAGAGAATAGCGTCTCTGTGCTTGAAGGTGAGAAGAAAAATGCGGAGGAGGAGATATTAACGTTGAGTTTAAAGTTAAAGGCGTCTATGGAAGAGTTGGCTGGAACTAATGGCAGCTTAGAGAGCAGGTCCACTGAGCTCTCTGGTTACCTTTGTGATCTTCAAGTGCTTATGAATGATAGCACACTGCTGTCCTTATTGAAAGGGTTTGAGAAGAAATTCGACAGCCTTAAAAATATGGATGACATTATTGGACACATAAAGGACCGTTTTCTTGGCTTGGGTTTAGAAGACATTGAGGTATTCCCCTCCCCCCTTCTAGTGCATGCTGTTTTGTGGATCTGCTTATGCCGGATATTATACACACACACACACACATACATACATATATATTGCTTATGCCCGCCTTTGCATTTTTTTTTTTTTTTTCCTTCTTTATATATATAAATGCAATTTACGTATATATATTGCATATTCATGTATTGCATTTACATTTTTCCCTCTCTCGCTCCCCTTTTTTCAGTCCTTGCTAAGTGCTATATTTTTATCCCAGTTAACTTTTTCCCCCTCTAATTAGCTCCTTTCTTAAGTATTTCAGGAAGATTTTCGTCCTACAAAATCCATCACAGACAGTCTGGACGATACTTTTAACTTTGAAAAGGAAAACGGTGAGGTCAGCGTTGCAGATGGTGACCATGTTTCATCTTTTGGGAAGACTGTCGAAGGTTTCCGGTTGAGAAACAAAATTCTTGCTGAAAGGTTTGAACGTTTCTCTTTATTTATAGATGAGTTTATTGCAGCTCTCTTGAGGAAACTACAGGCAACAAAAGAAGAAGTGGTGGTTGTGTTTGAGCACATTGAGACTTTGAAACAGAAAGTAAATAGTTTGGAGGTGTATAAACAGGAACAAGGGAATACTATTACCTTGTTAGAAAATGATGTGATGACTTTATTAGATGCCTGTACTAATGCTACCAGAGAACTGCAATTTGAAGTAAAGAACAATTTGTTGGAGCTCAGTTCTGTTCCTCAGCTGGAAAAACTGAGAACTACTTTATCCTCAGGAGAAATTAATGGAGTCCCCTCACAAGATGCTGAGCCAGTCATTGAAGGTAGCAAATGTGGTAAAGTAGCAGAGATGTTGTTGCTTGCTAGCAGAAAAGTTAAAGCCCTGTGCGAGCAGTTTGAGAGCACCACTGACGTGGCAGCCTCTACAATTGTAGATTTGCAGAATAGTTTAAAAGAAGCTGGAACACGTTATGAGAAAGCCCTTGAAGAAAGTGATCTGAAACAAAATATGGTTTCCAAGTTGGAGGGAGAAGTAAAAGCATTACAAAACTCATGCGGTGAGCTGAGGCTTTCAATAGAGGATTATCAAGCGAAGGAGGTTAAGTTAAAGGAAAGAGAAGCAGAAGTAGAAGCATTAAAAAATTCATGCAGCGAGCTGAGGCTTTTGATGGAAGAATATCAAGCCGAGGAGATTAAGTTAAAGGAAAGAGAGGCAGAAGTAGAAGCATTACAAAACTTAAGTAGCGAACTGAGGCTGTCAATAGAGGATTATCAAGCTAAGGAGGTTAGGTTAAAGGAAAGAGAGGCAGAAGTACAAGCATTACAAAACTCGTGCAGCGAGCTGAGGCTTTTAATAGAAGAATTGCAAGCCAAGGAGGTTAAGTCAAAGGAAAGAGAGGCAGAAGTAGAAGAATTACAAAACACGTGCAGCGAGCTGAGGCTTATAGTAGAGGAATATCAAGCCAAAGAGGTTAAATTAAAGGAAAGAGAAGCAGAAGTAGAAGCATTAAAAAGCTCATGCAGTGAGATGAGGCTTATGATAGAGGACTATCAAGCCAAGGAGGTTAAGTTAAAGGAAAGAGAGGCAGAAGTTTCATCATTGTACAATTCGTTATTGATGAAAGAACAAGGTCTTTTTTCTTTTCTCTTGTGAGTATAACTAGTTTGGCTTTTTTTTCTTTCACTAGAGTTCTAATGAGTTGTTTTCCCCTTTTTGTTGTTCCAGAGTCTGAAGATTGCCTCCTGTCAGCATCCCAAGTCAAAAACCTCTTTGACAAGATCAGAGAGATTGAGATTCCCATGGCAGAGTCCGAAGTAGGAGACGTGGAGCCCCATAATTCCACTCACGTAAAAAAGCTCTTTTACATAATTGATAATGTCACTGACCTGCAACATCAGATAAATTCACTATATGGCGAGAAAGAAAAGTTACAGTCAACCCTTGGGATGCAGACACGTGAAATTCAGCTGCTGAAGGAGGAAATTGAACAACATTTCAGAGATAAACAAGCAACCGAAAAGATGAAGAATGAACTCCCAGAACTCGTACATGGTTTGGAGAAGATTATAGCTATGTTAGGAGGTGATAGTTTTGTTGGAGACCAAAATTCTGCTGGTGTTAAGGGACCTCTTTCAGTATTAGAAAGGCAGGTTATGTCTTTGTTAATGGAATACGAAAGTTCAAAATCAAAAGCACAGGATCTTAGTAGCAAGTTGGTGGGGAGCCAGAAGATTGTGGATGAATTATCGACCAAGGTTAAATTGCTCGAAGATTCCATTCAAGGCAGGAGTGCTCAGCCTGAGATTCTCCATGAAAGGAGCCTTTTTGAAGCACCTTCATTGCCTACTGGTCCAGAAATATCAGAAATTGAAGATGCGGTAATATTCCTATGTTTTTTGATTATTAGTTCTATATTTTCTGCATTGTTTAACATGAGGTTGTCGAAAGTAAAAGATCTCCAAAGCAAAAGGTACTTGTAGATCTCAAGTTTTAGCTTGTGTGTTGCAGTGTCAGATTTCTCTCTCTCTCTCTCTCTCTCTCTCTCTCCCCCCTAGATTTTGGTTTTGGTGATTAACATGACTTTATTTGATGACGCCTTTTGTTTGTAAGCGTAAAGCCACTCTCTCTTATTTACATCAATACGCTTGTGTGTATAAGCTTATGATTGGGTCATAACGATTTAGCGGTACTTTGTTAAGGAGATAGAAGCTGCATATCTAAACAGAAACATGTTGCTTTTAATGTTTATCCAGGAACCAGTTGGAAAGAGTACAATATCTCCTGTCCCTTCAGCAGCCCACGTGCGTACTATGCGAAAGGGTTCAACTGACCATCTATCTCTCGATATTGATTTAGAGTCCAATCGTTTAATCAACAGAGAAGAAACTGACGAGGACAAAGGTTTGCGTCATAATATGTTTCCCAGCATCCCAAGTAGTTTCTTAAGCTTGAAAAATATTTTTACAACTTTCCTTCCTCTTCCTTTTACAGGTCATGTGTTCAAGTCTCTTAACACCTCGGGTCTCGTTCCAAAACAAGGGAAGTCGATTGCAGATCGAATTGATGGAATTTGGTAAACTGCTAAATCTAATGCTTACGCGTTTACATTTGTTTCCCTTTTATGATCTACAAAATCATCTCTGAATCAAATCATAGAAGAATAACTGTATAGGGTGGCTAACATCTAGCGCCATTGAGTTCTGATAAAAACCTTGTGCGTGTGATTAGTGTCAATGATTTGCACCGACTTTCGATTTGTATGCAGGGTATCCGGTGGTCGGGTTTTAATGAGTCGTCCCAGGGCGAGGCTAGGCGTTATCGCCTATAGTCTTCTTTTGCATATATGGCTATTGGCAACCATTTTGTAAAAAAGTTTCTTATCGTCTACTCGTTGGGATTCCTGGATCGTGTTACTACATTCTATCCCGCGTCAATTGTATCATAGATGATGGATACATCATATAGCTGTCAATTTTCTTTTCCATTCTTTTTATGTAACTCTTTTATTTTTGATTAACATGATCATAAAGCGCTATTGACCCTCTGCAATCACATTTTAAGGTTTCAGAGGATCAAAGCCTGTGCGCCTGTGGAGAATGCTCTGCAGATTATACTATCTTAGCATTGAGCGATACTTTCTCATGTGATAAGTGGCCGTGAAATCTTTGTATTGAATAGTTTATAATGTTTTAGATACGTTTTATATGTGATTTTATTTTATTTTTATTTATATATATATATATTTTTTTTGGGAATGTAGGAATCCACACCTAAACTACCGAAGGATTTTTATTTTATTTTATTTTTTCCCCTGAAATTGAATTTGAGCTGTGCTGCTTTTATATTTTCTTATAGGGTTATTATACGGTTCATGCGGTTTCTCGTTTGTTACAGAGAATTTGATCAATCTAAAATGTGTTTTAAAGAAAATAACCTACTTTCTGAAATCAAAGATAAATTCAACATTGTTTCCTTAGTTGGAGATGCCGTTTTCGGTTACAGCAATTTTTGGAAGGACCACACTTATATCGTTTTCAAGTACAAACGACAGTAAATTCTAAAATGTAAACGGCATCTCGTATTGGAGCGACAGCAAAACTTGAGAACACAAACGGCATGTTGTTTTTATTAATAAACGCTGAAATATGTGTAATTAAAACTGCTTGTCCATTTACTTAACCACAAAACCGTGAAAAGACTTTCCGTTTTTCCATAAACGACTGCAAATTTTAGTATTTTTAAAACAAATGTCGTTTCATACACTTGAACGACACACAAAAGCTTTGAAACTAACGCAGCGACATTAATCAATCAATTAGTGGACGTTTGGTTGATGGATTCAAAATCATGATTTAGAATCATTCTCGATTTACGTGTATTTTTGTGAGAGAAATTATTATAACGAATCACGAACTATGATTCGAATCATGGCATGAATCTAGCAACCAAACAACACTCTAGTGCTAGCGAGACTAATTTAAGTTTTAATTTTTGTGTATCAAGTGATGTGATATGTGAGTTGTCATTTCTTTATTAGTAGATGTAATTGTTAAAAAAAATCGGCAGCGAGTGCGCAGCGAAATTTTAAAAAATTTAATCAACGTCAAAGCCAACCAAGAACATGTTCATGATGCTATATAGCATAAATACTAAAGATCTAAATCATATCTTTTGAGATTTTAGGAAATTGCACGTCTGACTGATCAAGGAGTTCCAAACAGCGACCGGAAGAGCCTCAACCAACTGGTCTTCTTTGCTATTCTCGTTTTCACGATCAGAGTGCAGGTGGGCAAACGTCGTTCAATCTCCCTTTGGTATTCTTGAACTCCTTCCAACCACAAGAGAGCCAAAAGAAAAATTGTTCTTGAAAATTAAACAATTTTTCCTCTCAGGAATCTTTTGTCAATAGCCTCCAAAAAGTCTCTCAAGTGATCTAATGAATAATGTGACTTACTGGGCTATTTATAGTGTTTAGGAAGTCATACTTCCGTAACAATTAGGTTTCCCAAAGTTTTTATTGCATCTAGAGTCGGTTTCACCACGTCAGCACGCGCTACGCGTTACAACCGGTCGACCGGTGACAGAGACGTTATAACTCACCGGTCGACCTGTTCTTCACAAACCGGTCGACCTGTCCGGTCGACTTGTTTGCACTGACAATAGTTGTTTTCCTAGTTCTTCAACACAGGAAACTTGCATAGAGCCTCAGTTTTGATTCAAGCAACCCAATAGAAAAAATGCCTAATCAAAACAATCATATAATAGTCTTCCCATATTAAACAACTCTTAAAACAATAATTCAACCAATTTATCTAGAATTAATTTAACAATTAATTCACCCGATAAATCACTTATGAATTAATTAACCAATCTCCTATTAACTTTGAACATCTTTTACGGAAATAACACAAGTTACCAATATGTAAGAAATACACCGTATCATTACAGAAAATTATGTGAGCTAGCAAAGGGACCCGATGGACATATATAAATCAAGCTCCTATAATCACAACGCTACTTGTAAACCAACAAGTCCGTCTCATGATTATAAAACTCTAACGCTACTCCACTAAAAGCCTAGAGCTGCACTCTTGATTTATATAGTGTATTTACAAAGCTCTAAGTAGCTCTCGTTCATGACTCAATATATTAGTGTATCATCCCCATAGGATATCCATAATCGACTTGAGGTCAAGATCCGTTTTACCTTCCCGATTACATTTATCTTATATTCCATTATCACACCATTAGAAAACCCCTATTCATACCATTACAAACAGTAAACCATTAGATAACACAGAGTAGTCTAATGGTCGAACGCTCATATTTTCCAATCCACTGATAATGCATAAGAGGATATCATTGACTCTTTATAGGAGCTATGGATTCCACTATCTATGAATAACGAATATACGCATACACGAGTCATACCCCTAATGTACCGGTAAGCGTACCTTTACATAAGGTCAGGATGTCTCCCTTTAGTACATCGAAGGATACAAGTCAAGCATACGGGTTCATTATCCATCTCAGGATTAAGATGACAACATATAATTCGTCAAAAGTGAATTGTTTTATTCAAACAGAATTATTAATTAAAACAATTCAACTTTGGTATGATCCAATATAGATTTCACCATTAGAAACTATATCACTGTCTCTACCTATGTAGTCCCACCTCCGACGACTAAGACAAGCCGTCTCCGTTAGGAAGTAGACAACATAACAATCTTAACATGAATAAAGCGCCCAACTTTAGATTCCTGTGTTCTGCATGTTCTTCACATTACATGCATGACCTAAAGATTTAGAATGACAGTCTCAGACTTTTAGTTTGCTTATCATACATTCAACTAATATGAACATAAATAGGACAATACATAGATATATGATATAAATAAATCTTTATTAATAGTCAAAACGTCTCAAAGAACATCGTTTCATTTATTCCTAAGGGCATAAACGCTAACAGTAATCTCTTGTCGTTAATTGACCTAACAATATTTTAATCACCCACTAATAAAAAAGTGATAACTCACATACCATATCAGTCGGTATAAAAGTTAAAATTTGAATTGGTATTTCAAGTATTATTCTTAAAAATTAATTGAATATGTCCTTTAGTACTAAAAGCCTGCAGCTCTTAAACGACAGAGACATTTTGAATTCAGTACATTAGACAGCACCATTTCTGTGAAACGACATGTCATTTCTGATAAAAACGACATCAAACTAAACTGGAAACGTCAAAAAAAACGAATTGTCGTTTTCTATCATAAACGACTGCGTTTTCGGGGAAAACGAACGTCCAAGCTTCCAAACGACATGTCGTTTAGTTCATAGAAACATTCAAACCCGAAGAACTTGTACAGATAAAATTTCTATGATAGAGTCCTCTTGTTCGTCTTCGTCGGTTATTTCTCCGTCCGACTGTCCGAGCACTTCAGCTCCGGTGCTTTGAATGCTTCCGGGCATGTCGACCACCTAAATTTTCTTTTTCTGGGGACTCCTTAACAACAGGACAAAAACCTGCATAATAATTCTTCAAAAAGAAAACGGAAAGATAAAGGTTGGGTTTTTTTTTTTTCTGGGTTGGTTTCCATTTGTTTCAATCACGTAAACTGCTTTTTCTTCCTTAATCCTTCTGAAACTTTTCTTTTAATGGTTCAGTTGAAGAAATCACTGTGAATTTGAAGCTGTTTTCAATTATGGTGTCGCTTACTGTAAGCCATTGGTGGTACAGAACCATGGATGCTTCCTCAAACTCCTTGCATTGGAGAAATTCCAACTTTATCAGTTAGTGCTCTATTTATTTGTTTATTTCTCGTATGTTTTGATTTTTTGAGATTGACCCATTAAGATGTCCCATAAGAGAAGGTTTGATTATCCGTATTTCGAGCTAAAACTTACCGCTTAAACTGATTTCAAGTATCAGTTTTATTTTTTTATTTTTTTATTTTTTTATTTTTTTTTAAAAAAGATAGGAAAATTGGATGGTAATTGGTAATATGTGTTTTGCATACAACGCAAAGGAGGGACCATTAAGCTTGAAGTTGCTGCTATAGATTGTGGAAATTCTTTTTGTTTTTTTTTTGTTTCCTCTTTGTAATTTGGTTAAAAATGTAAAAATAGGATTATTTTTAGCTCAAAATGCAATATTTCACGCCTTTTTTTTTTTTTTTGATATGTTCTTTACATTTGGTGGAGTGCTTCGTGATCTGGTTGAAACTTGAAACGTGTGATCAGGTGGGAAGCTTAAAGTCATCTATGATATGCAAAAGGCTTTACATCCCAGATTATGCAATGTGAGATTCTAACTAAAACTTTGATAAACCTTTTGAGAATATTCAGTTGAAATTTCTTTCTTTTTTCTTTACCTTTTACTCATGCTGTATTGTTTTCAGGGGCTTAACGTTTACCCTATGGCTTCTGCTAGACGGAACTCAGCTAAGAAACTGAAAAAGGCTGCAGAAACAAGTCAAAGTGTTGAAGACATTTCTCCTAAAGATGAAGATGGTCAAGAAGACAACAAGCTCAACCCTTCTGATAAATCAGTAGGGAAGAAATTGAATAGCATTCCTTCTAGGAGTATGGTGCTGCAGGCATGTGCCATTACTTCAGCGTTAATAGCTGCTTTAGGTGTGGTACTTCGACAGGTAGATTTACATTAATGCTTCACTATCTTGGTATACTACTTGGTCCGTGTTTGCATAATGTTCCCGTATCTTTTGGGTAGGTATCTCATTTTGCTTCCGCAGAGGGATTGCCAATACTCGACTGTTCTTCGAGAGTATCGTGTATGTATTTGCGCTTTACTTATTACAAGTTTGTGATTCAAAAGTTTACTTCTATTCTCTTAGAAGGAACATCCAACGTATTGGACAACGAGGACATCTATAATATGTTAGTGTGGAGAAGCTAATCAAATGTGGTAGTGATGATCATTTAACATGTATAATTATTCAAGATAATTATGACTGAATAAGAGGTGATTTATACATGAAATAGATATTAATAGCCTGAAATAACCTTTTTCATGCTGATGTACATCACATTCAAAGTCTGTATTTTTTCTTTCTCTGTTAGGTCCCCTTTGCGTTGTAGCTGGAATAATCTTTTTCATTTAAAGAGCATCACCTTTTTTTTTTTTCTTCTCCCCTTGTGTACAGTTGATTTTGAGATGTGGCATCTTGAGGTGATTACAGGACTAGTTGTAGTGATATCGTCATGCCGATATTTATTACTAAAGATGTGGCCAGACTTTGCCGAGTCTTGTGAAGCTGCCAATCAGCAGGTAGCTCCATGTCCTGTTCTTTCAGAGCTCTTTAGGTACTCATAAGAGCTTGATAAATGTAGTTTGTGGTCAATGGTCATATCTGCAACGGCTAGATAGTGACATATTTCAGTGATTAGTTTAGAAAATTCCATGGGATTATAAGCTTTTCTTAACAACCAAACAAAAGAAACTCTATTTCACATCATGCATAATAGCTGGATTTTATTCCAAGTCTGCTGCTCCTGGTCATCCCTGTGTATGTGCTGACAATATTGCGTTTTTGAATATAGGTCCTTAGTTCACTACAGCCGTTGGATTACTTGGTTGTTGCATTTTTACCTGGGATTAGCGAGGCAAGCAAATAAAACTTTCATAACAGATCTATTTTCTTCTTTTTGGCAGAGTTAAATAGATAAGGAATTATTATTGGGCAGGAACTTCTTTTTCGTGGTGCATTGTTGCCACTTTTTGGATTTGATTGGAAGAGCG